CTCACCTACCTCGGCAGGGTTTAGGCGCAGTGGTTGTTGTTCACTGCAAAAGCATGGAGGGAACGAGAGTGATTTGTTGTGATGAATGTGAAAGCTAAAATTGTGCATCAGAAATATGATCCAAAGCAGAGAACCCCCTTTCATTAGCAACAGATACAATTATTTACGCAAACGAGGTGATTAAACATCCACATACACAATAGTGGAAGAGCCACTGAAACCTCTTATAAGTCGGAGTGAAATAAATATATAGATCGTATAGAGTTTATTCAATTGCAGTTCTTTGTCAGTTCGCTTACCGATGTGATCCTTAGAAAGGCTAGCATTAGGCATTATGGTAAATGTTCAAAAGGGCAATCATATTACAAGCTATTAAGCAAAACCTTATTAACATTAAAGCTATTAAGATAGACGCAGCCAAAAAATTAAATGAGTGACATTAAGGACATGGAGAAAACAATACCTGTAATGACGGTACTGAAAAAGCGGTCTGGCACGGGGACGAAATGTGTTTACAGTGGAATCATCCCTGCAGATCATGTAAATCCTCAATCTAAGATCTCACATTAACTTTCAAAATAGATTTTTATGCTTTAATATAAAAACTTGCACAAAACATCATTCTCTTTAGGTACAATCATTTCAAAGTGCAGTCCCTGTATCTATTCTAAATTGCACCATTTACGTGAAAAATCTGGAAATGACATTCTATAAGTGGTAGAACAGTCTCTAAAAATGCAGAAGGGATCATAAGCTTTTTTCTAATTTCCAAAACATAAAAGAACAAGATGCTATATGAATCAACTCACCCAGTGCCATTTTAGAAACTGCCCCTAGTTAAAAAATGAAATCCATTTTTTTGCGTCTACTGCTTTAGCACAATTAACAGATGGCATCTGGTCTAGAGGAAATAATTATAAGTTTATAACACTTATTGAAATCTAGGATACCAGTTTCTTGGTGGCTAAAAAAGAGCCATGAGAAAGCTTGCAAGGCATAAAAGGCAAGTATAATCCTAAGCCATCAGTTTGCAAATTACTTCAGAAAAACCACATTAGAATACATACCAGATCTGCTGAGGGCCAGCTCTGGTGCGTTTGGAAGCTGTTATTGCTCTCAAGTGGGAGCGAGCTGAGGCAGAGTTTGTTATCATCGTGACTGAAGCTGGCTGCAGCAGTTGTTCTAAATAAGGCATCTCTGTGGTACCAAAATATTTCCAGTGCTGACCCTTCATTTTAGCTTCCATATCTCCTACAAGCAGGCCGGCAGCACCAACTTCCAGAAGATTACAATTGTTCATGTCTTGGAGATTAACAGGGCGTTCGCTAACCATGCAGAGAAAATGTTCAACGATAGTCAAGTACTATAGCCATGCAATGAAGGAATTACTTAAGATATTAATTGAATGAGTGTTTGTTTACGAAGGTACACGAGTGTACAGTCAAGAAAAGAAGCAAAGATGCGTTTGAACATTTATAAGAACCAAAATCATGTACAATGTACCTTTCAGAAGAAGCTGATGATAACTGGAGCTCCCCGACCCAACGCCAATTCAGCAAATCTGACGATATGTATTCAGTGTCTTCCATAGCATTAATTTCTTGTATATTTGACAAGTTTGAAACAGACAGATTTGCAGCATCCTTTTTCTGTGGAGATTCTGCGGCATTTGCAGGACTTAATTGGGAATTGAATGATTTGCTCAACAAAGAAGATAGAGATGGCAATAACTGTCTTGACGCAAGAGTAGCTCCTGCAAATGCTGCAGGTTGGAAGGATCGCCTTGGGATATGTGAAGCCACAAGGGAACGCACATAATGCAATGACTTCACCAGAGCTGCAGAAGCAAAACTGGACACTGGTAAAGGAGAAGCACCCGCTGATGCTGATAAAACAGGCAATGATTTTTGCTTCAAGCTAGCATCGCACTCAGCAATCAGGTTCACGCAAAATTTATCGACCTGCAGTAGTGTCTCCTCGCCAGGCTTATATCTGTAGTGTAGGAACACCTAGGGATCATTATTATGTAAAAAACCATGGAAAACATTGGAAGACCCGTATACATATTGCAGACAAACCTCATAATATAGCAAAAAAATTGCACACTTAATCTCTAGGTTTGAACAGCCATTATGTCCCCTTCATATAAAACTGATTTACTAAATAATTAACCAAACATAGTGTTCCCCTTAAACAGAGCACAAATTATGCTTATAGTGAGACAGATGAGCTTAGGACATTGACGAATGACAAGTGAAGAGATGCTAGTTCAAAGAAGCAAAATGAAAACAATTAAGTTACATCCTTCAGTTAGAAATTTCACCTTAAGAGATACCGTTTCAGTAGTGCCACACACCTCGTAACCACAGCTGGGCTGCAGAAAATTGATTGAACATTAGCAACAACTAATATTTAAACCGTGCTACTTGAGAAATAATTAGATTAAAGCAATCTGCATCCATCCTAGTTAAATCAGGTTATATTCAACAATATGTCCACATAGCAATAAGCCCTCAAGTACTTTAATAGTCAACCTGGGCTGATGATATATATCTATGCAGGGACTTTTCCGACTTTGTTCGCTTACTGCTAGGAGTCCTTCCCCACACAGGCACACACTTCTACCTAAGACATCTGTTCAGATTATCATTTATTCTACAAACGCCTTTGAGTATTATTCTTCATAGTTAAACCACCAAGTGACTTACAAAACTAAATTTTATGTTCAAATAGATTTATAGAAAGCTATCACTATCATACTTTATTTTCCTTTCGGATCAAGCTACAATGACAATATCTACGTATAAATTATATTTGTCTTTACGTCATCCCATATTCTGGTCAAAATCTCCCACTTATGCATTGAAGCTCCAGTTTGCGCATCATTAGGAATCAAATTAATGAGCTCTTTCCCTTCACTCAAATTTTTCTATGAGTTCAGGCCTTCAAGATTTAAAAAACATTTTATTTCAATGAATTCTCAAACTCAAACCTTATAATACAGTTTCACTACCAGACTTGCGAGTGTTACCAAAGGACCGAACATACATGTAGCCAGTCCAAACTATGATTCAAAAGAGTCAAAGTTTCACAGTATGATGAAAAAGATATGAAGTACGAATCAATTACCTGCGATCTCTCTCTGCTATAGTATGCTCTAACAGCATGTTGTAGGCCAGGTCAGTCGTGGCGGAGGCTGATAGATAATCCTGTAATCACCAAGTGATTGTGTGAGTTCATGCAATTCACTAAAGATGGAGATCAAATATTTCCAATCGACTACCAAGGTCCCCTAATAAGCGAAAGAAAATAGATAATGAAAACGGGCTTCTCCATCACATATCTCTACCCAAATATTCATCCACATGAGGCCTCAAATGCAATGGCTACTAGAACAAAAGGAGTAATGTGCGGGATATAGCACAAAGGTCTTCACAAAACTAAAACATGGAAACTAATACCACAATAGAATAGAACATTTCCAGCTCTAAAATCAGTTACGACGCCAACACTACTCAAAGAAAGCGCAAATGTAGACACTGCTCTCTTCTTACTATTCGTTTACGCCGCATAGAACTCATATACCAGTGGAAATCAAAAGCCCTAGATACTCAATTCCTCTCTTTACACAATCATAGAACAGGATCAATTAAACCTCAAATTAAACGCAGGAAATGGAAACACAAAGACGAGAGATAATTCCATTTCACAATAAGGAAAATAAACCAAGCATAGCGTAAGTGTTACACACCCGGAGATTCCTGAGAGCTTCCGACGGAGCCATGGAAGGGATCGAGCCATGGTGCGAATTAACCGGAGGAGGAGACGATGAGAGGCAGTCCGCCACGGCTCGACGTAGTGGCTCAGGCGGCTTCTTGGAGGAAGAAGATCTAAGGCGCGAGGCAGAGCCGGCAGCGCCCAGCTGCAGCAACCGGGAGCTTCCGGGGCTTTGACCGGGGCTAAAAGAGGAAGACATGAATCACAAATCTCGCCGGAGCTGCGCCACTCTTGCTGGGAGGAGTAAAAGACTTTTTTCGATTTGGGTTATGTTGCTGCTGGCTAACGTCGTGTCCTTCACATCACACAGATGAGCTGTCAAAGCTTCTTCGTTTTGAATCCCATGGTGGAATCTAAATCACGGAGACATGGTTTTTGCAATCTGGTCCCCCTTGTTCTACCATTTCCTAGATTCAGCATCATATCTTCTATTATTCAATATAGGTCCAAAATCCCAATGAGATCTGCATTTTTTAAAACATGTGGGGAAGTAGTAATGATGATGACTTTGGCATTGTGATATTTTACAATTGGATTTGAAAGAAATCGGTCAATTCATACATATATCATGTTTTACAGTTACCATTCGGACATGAATTATAGTATCGTGCAAATTCATAAAAGTACCATTGTAATTGGTCAATTCATACATTCAAGGGCAACTCCTGCTTATATGTAGGCATCAAAATGTTTTCAGTAGTTCCTTTGGACCTCTACTGTGAATTTTAGCTAGAATCTATAGTTTTGACTTTTGACTGTAAGTCTGTAACGGTGTTAGATTAACACGTAAACGGTTGATTGATTCGGATGGCATGTTAGCCTCTAGAGTGGTAGCTGACGTTAATACAATATCTTTGGAGATATAAAGTTCATCTCCGAAACTCGAAAAGATTGGTTGTTAGATGTTTCACTTGAAATACCTAAACAAACTAAAAAAAATGAATGAATCTTTGATAAGCTCGCGAATCAATATTAAAAGTGGGCCCATAAACCGAAAAACAAAAGATGGGCCCAATAAGATGTCCCATAACCCACGTGACATGCTGACTGTGCCGATCCGTTCATCACGCTCACGGTTTGCTCCTTCCCCCAATGGCCCGAATAAAAGAAAAATTGTTAGTATACATTTTTTTTTCTTCTCTGTTCTTTGTTGACCCACCTAACAAAAAAAAAATACAAATCTGTATCTCTCAGTCATTGATCCTAAATAGCTAGACTCAACCAAACCCTAGATCTAACCCCAGCCGTCAGATCAGATTGATCGGGCAATCGCTTCTAGACCGTTGGAATCAAGCAATGGTAGAGGTAGAATCGTATTTGTGGGTATCCAGAAGAGGCATTAGGATTTTCTCGAAGCTGGGTGTTTTTTCATCTTGATGGCCAACAAATCGAATCTCCTCCTCTAAAGATATTTTTGTTTATTTCGGTCATGTGTGATTTGGTCGCGCGTACGGGTCGGCTCCAGCAGCGGTACGAGGATGGCTCTCGTCTCGTAGCCGGGTACCGTTTTTTATCCATCCTTGTTCCCTTTTTTTTTTATCTGTTTGCGTTTGTATCGCCTCTTTGGAGCTGCTGTTTTGGTTATGTAATGTGAATCTTCCTTCGTTTATTCGAAAATTGTGGGTGCGATTGATTAAGACAGGTGTAAGTAAATGCTGGGGGTTTGTTTTCATCGGTCTCTACGTATCCCTGTATTGAAGTGATTGCTATCTTCGAGATTAATTGGGCATTTTCTGTGTTAAGGTGTTATGTCTGTTTATATTCGAGAATTGCAAAACAAGAGTCACATCACCTTATTGAATCATGATTAAAGATTCTTTTGTCTTAAGAGTCATGCTTTGACAAGAGGATTTTGACATGCTTAGACCTTATTTTGATTGTAATGACCATTTATTGATGACCATGTCTGTAGCCTTTACCTGTCTTTAGTTTTTGTTTCCGGAGATCTTGTTGAACAAGTTCAATGTCGTGCATTTGTAGGTGTATTCCATTTAGGTATATAAATTCTGACAAAGATGGTAATTCTGAATCTGGGAAAGTGATTCAAGTGTTGATGATCAGCTCGTCTAGTGGACCGGGACTTTTGTTTCCCAAGGTACAAAGCAAATGCTGTTTCTTCTTGCTTTTTCCTTTGTTTGGGAACGAAGTAACATATCTGATTCACGGAATCATGTAGGGAGGATGGGAGAATGATGAGACAGTCAGGGAGGCTGCAGTGAGGGAAGCAGTGGAAGAAGCAGGTGTCCGTGGGATTCTAATGGTAAAGCCTTTCCGCACACCGTGTAATGTAGCCCTTTGTTATTGTTTAAGCCTGGTGCTCAGAATGTGGAAAAATTTGATATTTTGCAGGATTTTTTGGGAAATTATGAGTTCAAGAGCAAAACACACCAAGATGAGTTTAGCCCAGAAGGTTTATGTAAAGCGGCAATGTACGCATTGTATGTGAAGGAAGAGCTAGAGACGTGGCCGGAACATGAGACGAGAACACGGAAATGGCTGACAATTGAAGAAGCGGTAGAGAATTGCAGGCACGCTTGGATGAAGGATGCATTGGTGGAAGGATTCTGTAAATGGCATAAGGAGAAGATGGTTAAAGGAGAGGAGATAACAAGTGAACATTGAAGCAAGTGTGCATAAACCTCTGAGGGTTGGTTTCATTTCTTTCGATTTTGTTTTTACTTCTTCTTTTTTTTTTTTTTAAGTCTTATGCATGGAGAATCTGTGACTGCGAAACATAAGAGTTTCAAAGTTTTAAAGTTCAATTATTTCCCTGTTTCACACAGCTGTCTTCATCATTTTCAAGAATTATGAAAAAAAAAGACAGCTCTTGAGCCTTGACAAATCGCGATTGATAATGAAACAGGATTAAGAAATTGTTAACCTTTTTCAAAGAAATTATTTGCTTGTAAACTTAATACTATTTAGTATTTAGCTGGTGTTAACATAATTCATTTCTCATACAATTATAACTCTAGTGAGAATAGTATGGGTGTTGTTGTGTCGGAATGTATAGTAGATGCTTTTCTTAACATCTTAAACACACAAAAACCCTGGTTCTTAAAATTGAAGTTCTATAACGTTGCTTTTAATTTTACATTCGGAATCATTTTACGTACACCGCAAAACATATTGGATCGGTGTACCTGTCTGTTGCCAGTAGTAGAACATATATTAGCTGTAGAAACTAAAATCTGAAACAAGAGTAAATGAAAAGTAAAATATCACAAGTTTGATACAGCGAACAAGAGCAACAGCAACAAGAAACCCGGTTCAGTAAAACCGAAACCATATCCTTGTTATTAACATAACGTCATCAAAGGGCCACCGCAGAGACATTGGTTGTCACTAAACGACGTAGCTTCAAGGTGATCAAAAGGAGAACCCGTTGGGATACGCCCACAAAGCTTGTTATGGCTAATATCCAAATGTCCCACAAACTTAGCTGACGACAACGAATCCGGGATCCGACCCGATAGACTATTGTGCGACAAATCAAGCGAAACTAAATACGTTTTTGACCCGAAAACGTCGGGTATAGATCCTTCCAACGCATTTCGGCTCAAATTCGCAACATCTAAACCGGGATTGCTAAGAAGCGAACCGGGGATTGAACCGGTTAACGAATTGCAATCGAGATTCAAAAGTGAGAGTACCTTCATGTTACCCATCCATTCGGGTATCGGACCTTCGATATGGTTCCTGGATAGATCCAGATCCACTAACCGTTCCATACCCGAGATCGACTCTGGTATTGACCCGGTTAGTTCGTTACGGCCCAGTAAAGCTCTGCTCAACATCTTCAACGATCCAAAGTCAGCCGGGATCACGCCAGTGATTCCGTTTTCCGTCAATTCAAGATGCTTCAACTCGACGAGTGACGTCAACGACGACGGAATCTCGCCGGACATCTGATTGTCCGCGAGGTTTAGAACTGCGAGTTTTGAGAGTTTGCCGATTTCCGCGGGAATCTCTCCGGTGATCTTGTTGCCGGCGAGGTCGAGGATACGGAGCGAAGCCAGGGAGGTTATGCACGGAGGAATCTCTCCGGTGATTCCCTTCCAGTCGGCGAGGACGAGGGAAGTGAGTGCGGTTAAGTCACAAACCGCTGGATCAATCGAACCGGACATATAACCGGACCGGCCTGCCTTTTGGAAAATGGCGTCTTCAGATTCTCCCCGGAGCAAAATGTCAGTGACCCGACCCGAATCAGGATCGCAGCTAATACCGTACCATTCCTTGCAACAGTCAGTGTTTTCAGACCAAGTGTTGAAGATGCCTAGGTTTGGTTCGCTCAGTGATGACTTGAAAGCATTGAGAGCCGTCTGATCTTCAGGAGAGCAGCATCGGACGACGGAGATGACGGAAATGAAAACTACGGCGAGTAATGAACTAAACGGCGATGCCAACAACTTTCTCATTTTAAAAATAAATGTTTGATATTGAAGAGAGTGGTGTTGTGTAATGAGTCTTTGGATTATATAGAAACGTAGAGATGCAAGAAAAGAAGAGAGACATTTGCATGTGCATGGTATCATGGGCATGTGCATGTTACTACTATTATTCTATATATTATCTTATGAATGTATTCTTATACCTTTAATCTATTGTACTAAAGAGGAGGATCATGTGTGTATGTCAGTTTTTACTTTTTAAAAAAATATTTAATTAATCGAGTATCCAACCATGATCCGGTAATATATAAGTTAATCATGTTGATTTGTTACAACGGTAATATGTTGATTTTCATGGACATGTAAGATGTAACTAATGCTTATATATACGAAGAGATAATCTACATGGACATGTAACGTATGCATATTCCTAAACGTATTTATACAAAGCTTTAATATCAATAATGCACGGATTATGGAGCATGAACTTCCTATTTCCTAAGGTTATTGCCATATTACAGCAATGATCGTGATTTCAAGTTTACTGAAACGCCAAAACTTCACATCATTAAAAGCTTTATATGACTAATTATGATTGATAATTTACCAATTATTAGAGACAGCATTTAATAAACCAAATATGGTTGGTCCTCCATAAATACTTTTACATGTGACTCATGTGGTCCTACTACAGAACTACAGAAGCATTTAAGCATCTCTCTGTCCAAAGTCCAAACTTTGATTTTTTTTTTTCCTTCCCTAATTTCTTATCCCAAACCTATCATTGTAAAAAATCCTTACATTTGATTCAATTAGTTTAATTATAATATTTGACATATAACATTTATAACTATTTCCCATATAACCTTGTTGAGAAAATAATATTATGATCAAAATGACAAAATCATTAGAGCTTTTTTCCAGCATTTATGATTTTCAGTCGCGTTGTCTTGGTTAGGACATGATTCAACGCCCATCACATGCTCAGGGGTCAAGATCCCTTTTCATGGAGCTGTCTTTTTTTTTTTAAATTTATGTATTAGTATTAATTTTCCATGTCCTTGCTCATAACCAAAACATAATTTCAATCATAAGAATAGTAATCCATTTGTAAAATGTTAGTTTTGTCGTCGTATCTCCAAATGAATTCAAATTCCACTAAATGCATGTATGAAAATATGGATCATAAGATTTTTCTTTTTGTTTTCATTTCGATTTACTAGTGCGTGAATTATTCGTGATCTTTTCAAGGTCTTTTAGATAACTATTGTCTAAATTTGTTTGGAACTATAGTCGGATGAATTGTTTTACTTGGAACTGTTGTCATTTATATTTTAGGGTTACTTTAATTTGTGACTGACAAGATCTTTTGAATTCTTAGGCCTTGAAAAGCAATGTTGTTTGTCTTTGACATAAAAGACGAATTTGTAGCAGTTCTGCATCAATTACACACATTCGCTTATGTTTTTGTTTAATACATTAAAAATGACAACAGAAGCAAAAATGGATAGATGGAGGTAGTCAGTAGAAATCTTTCCAACAAGTGACATCTCTTTATATTATCCATAATAAACTCAGTTTGCCAAAAGACCTATACATTGGATTCCAACTCTTCAATTTTTTTTTGGGATGAATAAAAAACAGAGTTAAAAGGAAATTTTTTTATATAGAGAAAAAAAAGAAGGAACTTGAATTGCGCTTTGCAATGTGTTTATATATATAGTGGATAATGTATATATAAAATATATATATAGATTGTGGTGAGAGTTAAGTCAAGTGGAAGGTCCAGCCAAGTCACCACCACCTGAGATGGAGAGGAGAGGTCGGCGTGAGGTACTCCGACTGACGAGATGTGAATCAAGAAACACAACTATGACTGTTATATCATCATGAAAATGTCTCCTCACTCCTCTATCGATCTTTTTTAGATCCGAATATCTCATCTCTCTCTTCTTTGCTGCCTCTCTTAGAGCTGTTTTTATTAGCTTCCTTGCAATCCCCTGCACACTCATATGTTCTCAATCTATCTATCTATTTGAACACAAAACGTGAAAGAAAGAAAGAGCGAGAGAAAGAAAGAGCAAGAGGCAATCTTACATTGCGTGGGCATGTGTTCACAATGTCAACAGCTTCTTGATTGGTTAAGTGCTCCCACAAGCCGTCTGATGCAAATATAAGAAACTGATCCTCTGGATGGATTTTGTGTACTGTAATTGCTGGCTCTGCTCTAAGGATGGGCGTATGGAAAACCTCAGGGACTCTGAACTTTGCCAACAACGGTTCCCGGTTGAATTCTGCTTTCTTTAAGTAGGCATCACCAATCGACCGTGAAACCTTCAAGAACCAGCCACGGGTTATATATCTAGCGAGAAATCCTCTTTATCCTTTTAAAGTGAGGATACAGTAAATCTCTTCTTAGACACATAAATCATGAGTCTTTTACATGCATAGGGTTTGACTGTATCTTTCACAGCCAAGCTACTGGCAAGAAAAGAGTCTAGAATTCAGCAACTCTCATTACCGAGAAAGTGTTTTTACCTGTATAATACCTTTGACACGCCAAACTTTGTGCTTCAAGACCACAATCTGAGGATCATTTGGATGCAACGAGCGCAGCTCCTCTCTCACAGATTCAAGACTTGCATTGTGTTCAGACGATAATTGAACGGCCTTGACAATTTTAAACGCTTTTTCCAATCTTCCTAGCACAACCCGAGAATCTCCAGCGTTTGCAATATACAACAATCCACTACATATGATCCCTACCAGACAACATGCTCCAACAGAAGCAATCTGTGGTTTAATCTGCCACTGCCGCCGCACAAGAGAAAGAAAATCTTCTTCTGTAGCTAAAAACGCTTTGGTTATAACATTGGCAGACATTCCATGATTCTCTGATGTAAACTCTGCAATCATAGAGTATCACCAAGTTAGGACATAGCTAGTCTCAAATATATACATATCAAAGTCACCAAAAAAAGGGAAACCGCGTACTCCTGATGTTATCGAAGAGGTGCTTATTAACAAAACGGGCAGCTTCAGGACCTCCGTGACCATCATAGACACCAACAAAAGTAGCTTGAGGACCAGAATCAAACATACTAACGGGTCCAGACTCAAGCTTGCTATGATCTTCAAGAAGATTATTGGCTTGAATGACAGACATAGAGAACTCTCCAGCAACATGGTTACCAGAATCTTTATACCAAAGAAGACCATCACATCGACCATTAGCGTCATTTTTAGTAGAATGATCTCCCTTGACAGAAGGTCGCCTCCAACATGGTGCTACCATCCGCAAAATAGTTGCCGATGATACCATAACTCACATAATCCCCTCAAATATCAGAATTTTTTCACTTCATCTATAAGATCACTAACACCCCCAAAAACGGAATCAAATCAAAATTTTGCTTATTCCTCCTTCCCTAAAACAATACGAATAACGAATACGAATCAATCAATCTACATTTGCGTCATATACACATACGAATTTTCTTCAAGGATCGATTTATAAATCAGACAATTACCTTTTGTGGAATCGCAAAAAAGAGCCGGGAAATGATTTACCGTCCGACAAAACAAAACTGGAAAGTGGATCGAGATCGGAAGCAGGAGTTACGATAAGAGGGAATCGTAACTCCGGTTGGGTTACAGAGAGGAAGAGAGATGACGAGAAAGAGAAAAAAAAAACAAATCTAGCAGGCGACTCTGTCAGAATTTCCTTATTTGGGGGTTCGATTTCTCTTAATTTTCTCTCTTTTTATTTTTTTTTTTCTTTTTTTCTTTTCGTTCGATACTTTTTTTTTTCATTTGCTTTCGAGTTTAGCTGTTTAGGCAATTGACCTCAGAAACAACCCGACGTTTTAGGCAGCTTTTTCTCCCAAATTTAGCAACGTTTCTCCATTTTTCAAGAATACTAATTTATTAAAATACTACTATAATAAATAGATTTTTTATTTATCTTTTCCATAATCTGAATGAAACCAAAAATATGCAAATATCAAAAGTACCAATTCTAGTTTGTCCAATCATAAAATGATTCATCCGACTGGTTGAAGGAACAAAATTGAAATTTTCAACTGCTATTTGAATTATGGTTAGTTCATTTGACTTATCAAATGACGAAAATGTTAAACTTTTCTTGCATGTTGTAGAGATTAACTTCTATTTAAATTTATCATCCCATAAAAAATAGAAGCATTTCGCGCAATACAATCCACTTCTGGGTTGTTGAATATGGTCAGGAAAACAAGACCATTTAAGCTCAACACCTTGGCTCAACATATACTTAAGTTTTACATAAAAATAAAATAAAGTTAAGTCTGCAAATTGGCATGTTGACATGTTGTACGCGCAGCTTTACAACCTCACAGGTCGTTTTTTTGTGTGTGACATTTTTAACCCGCAAAATCTTTTTTTTTCTATTTAATTCCCTAAAGTAAAAATCTAACATGTCCGAACAGGAACCAAACATAAACATACATGTGTTCGATTCTAGTTAACACAATAACACCTCTATATAGATACATGATTATGGTATACTTTTCTTTGGTGATTTTTTGTTGGGAGAGAAACAAAAATAAACAAGTTGGCCCATATTCCAGCGATTTTCCTCACCCTTCTTTGATATCTCTCCATAATAAAAGTCATACTAATAAATTAGAGTATACTCAAAAGAAAAATACCCCAAAAAGCAAAAAATATGAAAGAGAAACAAACATGTTGTTGTCCGCTGAATGGCGTCATAAGCCATTCTAGAATCATTGAAATGCATATTTAATCCTCTGGTAATTCCACAAAAGTGATGAGGGTATTTACGTAAATCCACCAGAAGACGAGAAAGTGGGGATGGTGGGAAGGAGAGATGATAAGAGAGATGGAAACGCGTCTCTCTATGAGGCCCATATTCCATTCATCTCTCTACCTCTACCTCTACCTCTCTCTCTACCTCTCTCTCCTCGAAATCGATCCGTAAACTCGCCGGAGGAGCAGGGAGATTCAATAAGACGATGGCTCAGAGAACGGAGAAGGAAGAGACGGAGTTCAAAGTTCTCGAAACCTTGACGACGACAACAACAACAACGACGCTATGTACCAATAACTGCGGCGTTACAGCGAATCCTGCGACGAACAACATGTGTCAGAAATGTTTCAACGCGTCTCTCGTCTCGGCGGCCGCCGGTGTTGTTGAATCAGGCTCGATCTTGAAGAGATCGGCGAGATCTGTCAATCTTCGGTCATCAACAGCTAAAGTCGTGATTCGTACGAGAGAGATCGATGCGGTGAAGAGAGATCAACAGATCGTAAACCGATGTTCTGGTTGTCGGAAGAAGGTTGGTTTGACCGGATTCAGGTGCCGATGCGGTGAGCTTTTCTGCTCCGAGCACCGTTACTCCGATCGTCATGATTGTAGCTACGACTACAAAACCGCCGGTCGTGAGGCGATCGCTAGAGAAAATCCGGTGGTCAAGGCGGCGAAGATGGTCAAAGTTTAAATTAATATTCGATCTCAACCGTTGAAAACTTGTGGTGGTTCAAAGCTCCGATCTATACGATCGGAAGAGATGGTCGGAGACATCGATTTGAATTGGTGCTGTGTTGTAAAAGAAGATTCCTCTGCTCAATCAAATCTGAACCTCCAATTTTTATTTTTTTACGTTTTTCATCTTTTAATTTATATATTAGTGAATGATTATTAATATTAATATTGTGTGGCTTACGGATTCATGAATTTGCTTCTTGATCGTCGAGAAATGTGTATGTAGGATATGGTAGAAACGAAGGGGTGGTTTGGTAATTTAGGAACGTGTCTCTCTGGTTTCGTTCGTTCGTTTCGTGTGGTAGATGTACTTATCAACGATACTAGTCCATTGTGCGTCACAACTCACAAAGCCAATTTCTCTCAGACAAGTTTGCTTGGCGTATAATATACCAAAGCCAATAACGTGTTTGAGTTGTATGGGTTATCATCTTCTTGTTTGTTCCATTATTTATTTATAGATCTTTACGAATATTTTTCTCGTAAATTATTTTCAACGCATACGAAAATATCTTTGCATATTTAACAGAATAATACCGACGTCTCAGCTTAATAATATTTATGCGATGCAGTAACGTAGGATTTTTAAGATTTTAAACAACAACCTACTGTATATCTTAAAGACACAAAAGAATATATTTCATGGTGATGAGATTCGAGCCGTATGACATTTGGACGACGGTTAAGGTTTAGATATAAAAATATTGACCATCCAAATAAGGATAAAGAACAAAATTTTAAAGCGTGAACACATAATCTCTTAAAGAACTGTGAAATTTCTAAACACTTTTTTTTTTGGTAAAAATTTCTAAATACTTTCACAAACTTTGATACATATTTTCAACAAGTTTATGTTTCGTTTCACTACGAATTGGGTTTGAACATTTTCCACCAAAAAATATGTTGTGACAAAAAAAGAAAAAAGATAAAAGATAAAGTGTACTTAGTAAAAAGAATGATACCCAAAAAAGAAATTTGTAAAAAAAGAAGTCATTGGTAAATTCATTGAAATGTGCTATTAAGCAAATTTTCCATTGATTATTTATACCAGAAAGGAAAATCTCAAAGTTAATATGTTTTGGCCCAACCCAATTATGAAAAATATTAAATGTCTGGTTTTAAAATTGAAACACAAAACGCCCCGTTTATAACTAAAAGAAATTGAGAGGGGCTTCTCATATCTAATTAGTTCCGTCCGTCGAAAATAAATCCCTTAGACATATATAATCAGGAATTCAATCGACTGGGTTGCTGCTCCCTGGATTTCTCCGACAGAAACCCAAACCCTAGCACCACCACCACCACCTTGGAGCTCCTAAATTCTATCCGTTCTCGAATTGAATCGTGCATAGGTTAGGGTTTTAGTGGCGTGTAAATATATTCCGATTTGTTGATTTTTTGGGCTCTCTCATTGCCGTGGCAAGTTAAGGTTTTTTATAATAATCTCGTAAAGGAAATTTCAGTGGAGATGGGAAGCGCCGATCTAGTCGATGATCGGACCTTCAATGGTGATTTCAGTGTGGAAGGAGTTGCCAAGTTGAAAGAGATGGTCATGGTTAAACTCAAGGAGTTTATGGGCGATTACACGGATGACACTCTTGTGGTACGATTTCATCATTGTCATTCAATTCTCCATCTTTTTTCTTAAAATTGAGGGTGAATATGAATCTCCGCTTTTGGGTTTGATTGCTTCCTTGATGGTGTTCCTTGTAGCTAGAATTGCTGAGTTATGGAATTAAACTTTAGTTGCTCTTAGAATTTAACTGACACTAAAGTCGTTTGCTTGCAGGAATATGTGATAGTCTTGCTTAGAAATGGGAGAAGAAAAGAGGAAGCAAAGAATGAATTGAAAATATTTCTTGGAGATGATAGCGACTCTTTTGTAGCCTGGTATTTATAGATTTCTTATCTTTGTGAAACAAAGTTTATTACTTTTATAGAAATTCATATTCACTGGAAGGATATATGCAGGTTGTGGGATCATCTGGCTGAAAGTGTAGATGAATACTTTAGTTCTCATGTGGAAGGAACTACCATAAAAAGCTCATCGATCAGCAGTCAGAATGAGGATAAAGCGCTTGTGCCTATGGATTCTGAATCTGAAAGGGGACGATCTGATAAATCAAATGGTGCACGCCGCGGTAGACAATGGAGAAGCCAGCCAACTAATGTCTCTGAGATTCCTCCTCTTCTGAGTTCTGAGGTTCACAAAATTCATAACTACGAGAAGAAAGATCACAAACACCGACATAATAAAAGGTCTCCATCTCCGCAGTCTCAATCTCACAGGAAAAGGTCTAGAACTGACGACTCACGGAATGAACAGGTCTGTATTTTGTAATTTTCTGTTGAATAGCAGTCACCACGTAATACTTGAGTTGGAAAATTGAAAAAAATGCTAAAATAGTTTACTGGATGGGATTAACATGTCAGACGTCTTTATCTTCGTGTTATGAGGTTGTCTTGTTCCAGTCTTTTAATGTTTGTCCTGCTGTAAAGCTAATGTACGAGTCTCTGATTTTGTTTTCTTTGACCTGTTTGATAGAGGGAAGCTAAACCTGATGTCTCTCGCCGGCTGCTTCAGTTTGCTGTGCGAGATGCTCTAGCTATATCAAGGCCGGCAAATAGTTTGACTGAATCCTCATTAAAACGTCTTCGTTCAGTAGTGTCCACATCTACTCAAGACTCATCTGACCCCGATCCAGCTCGGAAAATTCGATCGGTTGCAAGAGTTGTGAACCCCATGGCAACTGTTATGAAAGCTGTCGCCGAAGCAGCTGAAGATGCCAAGAAATCAAGATCTGGGAGAAGTGTCTTTGACAGAATTAGTCATTCTACTGGATTTTCAGAGACCCTGGACCAGCATATGGTACATGGTGAAGTTTCCCCCAAGAATGAAGAATGTAGGAATTTTAGCGAAGACCAGGAAGCGGTACAGCTTCAATACTCGCAGCGTCTTGACAACAATGGAGTGTATGTTGAGAAGATGACAACTGATGACACTGGCTTGCAGCCAGATTTTTCGTCTGATCGAGGCAGACTAGGTTCAAGTGTTAATGTTTCTCATCCAAGCACTTTTCTTGGGAACAGAATTAACAATCCAAATAGTCTGCAGCATCGTTTAGTCGATGACTCCAAAAGAGTTAAAGGGACGAATTATCAAAATCGCCTTACTGAAGTTGCAACCAAGCATAAGACTGCAAGTTTCTCGGGGAATGTAGATACAGGGAAAACAGTAAGGTTAGAGGAGGAGATGAAAGTACCAGATGTGGGTCTGCAAAGATATATGGACGAAGGCAGATTAGTTTCTAGTGAATCCATCACTCAATTATCGACGCAGAAAATCTTGAGTGATACAATAAGGAATGGAAATGTAAGTTCCATATTTTAGATGCATGCTCTTACTAGCTATTTCAATGATAGTCTTCTTCCACAATTTGTTAGGCATGAAATATAAAACATCTCGAAAGTTTCTTGTTAATATTTACCCCTCATGGATTTGTTACGATGATTTATTTCGTACTTACTTGTGATATCAACTGGACTCCTAATACAAGCTGGCTTGTTGTTCTTTGGCAGATAAAACCTGCTGCCAATGTGAAAGAAGATTCCACGACCAATAAATCTATTCCTGGTGAGTTGTTAAAATATATCATTCTTAAGCTTTTTGAAGATTCATGCAATTGGAATTTCTTTTTTGCCCTTGACAACCTCACTTATTTGGTGCCCGTTGTTGTAGTTTTTCTGTATAAGTTTTTCTAAGATGATATACTGGCATTTGCAGGGACATTATCCACTACCCGCCCTTTGGAAGATGCGAGTTCTCGAACAATCTTTGTCGCCAACGTAATAATTGTTAATGTTTGTATACTCTTGAACTAGAATTGAGCAAAAACTTGTCAATTGGTGTATTAATTTGAATGTGAATGGTCGTAAAACAGGTTCATTTTGGTGCCACCAAGGATAGCCTTTCAAGGCATTTTAACAAGTCTGGTGAAGTGCTTAAAGCTATCATAGTAACAGATCCAGCAACAGGACAACCAAGTGGGTAAGTTTTCTGAATTCATGATCCCAATTAAAGGCTTGATATGTCTCAGTTGAGTTATATGGGACACCTTAGTGACCCAAGTTGATCGCCTTTTGCAGATCCGCGTACATTGAGTTCACGCGTAAAGAAGCTGCAGAGAATGCATTGTCTCTGGACGGTACCTCTTTCATGTCTCGGATTCTGAAGGTAAAGATTGAAACCCGTGTTCAACTGTTTACCATAGCCAACTATTGCTTATGGTCTTTAGGATTGGTTAGAATCTTAGTTGGATAAGGAATGAGCTGTGTAATTTTTGATGGATGCAGATTGTGAAAGGAAGCAATGGGCAACAGCAAGAGGCTGCATCGAGCATGACATGGCCTCGAGGTGGAAGGTTCACAAGAGCTCCCTCATACTTTAGAGGTGGTGCAGTCAGGGGTCGTTCTGGTGTTAGAGGTGGAGCCAGGAGTATGCAATGGAAGCGCGATTCAGCTGACACTGGAAACAACAACAATGTAGCTCCCAACAATGCTCGTAGTCTCACGTACGTCCGAACAGAATCAAAATCAGACGGAATTACCAACGATTGATAGATAAGAAAGAGAAGCAAGAGCTTAGGTAAAATTAAAAAAAAAAAAGGAAGATGAGTTTTATCATCTGCCTTATCGGATATTATTCTCAATTTGTTTTTCTTTTGGTTCTATAAAGCTACTCCAAAACTTTTACTTGTATTGACGTTTATGCTTCATCAATCGTTTGGATATTAGAGAAAAAAAAAGACAAAAAAAAATTGTATTTCAAGCTCTCTTTGTCTATCATGGTGATAACAAGAGGAACAAGTTTCCGAAACACAAGGCAACAACGCACAAGATGGAAACAACACGAGCTCTAACGAACAACAAATTGAGATTCTTAGCAACTTGAAGTGTCAAAGTAAGAATCTGCAACCTACCTAACTCTTCCATCTTCTTGAAGAAGTACATTGGCTTCAACGATCGTCTCACCATCAACGCCATCGCAAACGGGAATCCGAAAGCTATACAGCTCTGAATTGTCATTTCCTTCATCGGATCTGATCGCGTCGCGTACAAAATCGCTGCTCCAAGAATCAATTGAGTTAAACCAAGAGCACCCATGGCTCCACTTAGACTATACATATTCTTCATCATCCCTTCCAACACTTGCCTCGTCTCATTTCCTAACGCCGACAAATCGCGTTCCACTGTTGGTCCTTCGATCTCCTGGTGCTTCATCTTCGGCAGCTCCTCTGGCTTCGACTCCTCTTCTGGCTTCTTGGGCTCGGTCTCTCCGCTTGGTGTCGAGAAATACCTCGGTGACCATGTTTCAGATCGAAGCTTGTCGATATTGAAAGCAGAAAAGGATCTTAAGAGACCAAGCTCCTGAGTTACTGATCCGTGGATCAGATGGTTTCTTATGGGAGATGAGGAAGATTGCAGATGACGGCGAAAAGCGTGGAAAGATGGAGAGGGTTTAAGGAATTTCGAAACCAATCGACGAGAGATCATCATCTTCGTCGCCGAATTCGATGCAGAGAAGAAGCTCTACGTAATTAATTTAGGGTTTCTTATTGCCAAATTTTGTAATTGATGGGCTTACACTTCCAATTTTGACCCAACCCATCAAATCATGGCTTTAGACAAGTCAACGGTTTAGATCAATTTTAACCGTTTTCTTGGTTTAGATCAATTGTAACCGTTCTTTTGGTCTTAAATTAACGTCTTAATACATTATCATAATCGGTTTATAAGATTAATGCAGAAGAATTGTATGATTACTCGTATATCCCTAATGCATAGAACTCGATGTGCAACAAGTGGCTTACTCTAAAAGTGAATATCAATAACACTTAATTGAGCAATATAATCGGGTACCGACAAGTGCTCTTAATCCAAGACAAAACACCAAGTTCCCACAAAGTTTGGAGAAACACACTCTCTTCCTCAAGCCTAATAAAGAAACACAACTCAAACTTACAATATAAAAACCAAAAGCCACCAATTTTTTTAAAAAGGTCATCAAGCGATTTACAACAATGTCTTCTTCACTTACAATCTTCTTCTTCTTCTTTGCTTCAACATTCCTCTACACTTCATCAAATTCATTCAACATCACTAACATCTTAAACGAGCATGATGATTTCTCAACTTTCAACCAGCTTCTCTCCGAAACTCAGCTCGCTTCTACCATCAACAAACGTCAAACCATAACCGTCCTTGTTGTTTCCAACGGTGCACTCTCCTCTCTCTCCGGCCAACCAACCGCCGTGATCAAGAAAATCCTTAGCCTCCACATCGTTTTAGATTACTATGACCAGAAGAAACTAAAGAATCTGAGCAAGAAATCAATACTCCTCACCACTCTTTTCCAATCTAGCGGCCTAGCAAGAGGCCAACAAGGGTTCTTGAACGCAACCGTTACGAAAGACGGAGACGTGGCGTTTGGATCTGCGGTTCCTGGGTCTAGCCTTGATGCTCAGCTTCAAGACACTGTAGCAGCACTACCGTTTAACATCTCGGTGCTTCATATTAGTAGTGCTATAATGATTGATGTTAAAGCTGATAATGCACCTACTGCTTCTCCTTTGTCACCGGTATCATCTCCACCACGCCCTGCAGAATCGCCTAATGATGATGGTCATGATTTTGACGAGCCACCATCCTCTGCTCCTGGTGCTGCTGCTGCTGATGGACCTTCTGAAAACGCCGGCTCAGCCAATGGAGTTTCAAGGATCGATTCTCAGCCTGCGTTCGCGTTTACCCTGTTGATGTCATCCATTTGGTGGCTCATGGCTTGACTTCGATGAGAAACAGAGTGCAAAGAACTAAACAGATCAGTTCAAGTTGTGAAAGGAAAGCCAAAAAAAAGAAAGATAAAACAGACGCAGCTCGGATGGCTGCAAAAACAAGAACACTAAAAGACTAAGCTTGACGAGTTCTACGAAGGAAAATAAATTGATTGATACAATAAAGATGTTAAATTTGTAAAACTCAAAAATTGTCGGATATCATGTATCAGTCAATGGTGCCTCGTTGTTTGGTTGCATTACATGAAATCGACGACACAAAGAAAGGGAAAAAACATTATGTAGTCTAGAAGAAGCTAGATTATAGATCTTTATTAGTTTTTAGGTATGAAAGGCAAAAAGCAACCCAAGAAGAGGAAGATTCATATCCATGTCTCTCCCCAAACCCTAACAACGAAACCCAACAAGTCTTCAAGCAAGACAAGGAAACAAAACTCAAGGACTATACATGTCGACTGGCTTTAAAGAAAGCTTTGATTAAAAGCAGAAATTTTTTTAAAATGCAGTAAGTAAAATTGTTCCTTTCCCGAGTCAGTGGTGAAGCCCGTTTCCATTGCTATAGACATTGCCGTTCTGATGAACTTTCCCCATTGCAGATCCATTGGCTACTCCATTTTTCGAAACTATGTTCACCTTGCCACCTGTTTGCAAAACTGATTCTAGACACCCAGACGCTGCTGCAATAAGACCTGTTGCATCAAAGTGTTTCCTAGTAAGCCACAACACCATTACCACAGATTCTTGCTCAAAAAAGCTATCAAACTATAACCCAGAATTTACCTAGAAACAAGGCAGAAGGCTTCCCAGGTCTGGACTTGAATTCAGGATGGAACTGAGCACCCACAAAGTATGGATGACTTGGTAGTTCAACAATCTGCACACCAAACCAGTATAATAATGAAGCACAAGATCACAAAAGCATTCATATATTGTTCCAAGCTCACACTGAGTCACACATTAAACAGGTTTTCCACGAGCCTATTACCTCCATACGACGCCCAGTCTCATCTTTCCCAACAAAGGAGAGGCCAGCCTTCTCAATTTCTGATATCATATCTGGATTTACCTGCCAAAAAATCATATATTTTACTTATAACAACTTAGAGAAATCTCAAGGAAAATAACATGTCAAATAAAAGAAGCTGAAATATTACCTCATATCTGTGCCTGTGTCGCTCATCAACAAACTTTGCATTACCGTACCTGAATGTAGAGATAAGAAGTTATATAGGTTTCCGAAATGAAATACGAGTTATCAGTGCTACTGTATCTTAATGAGTTTTGTACTTACAACTTGGAAGACTTGCAATCAGCAACCTGGAAGTAAGTCCTCCTTGACCCTAAGCGCATTGTGCCCCCCATATGAGTTGTGGATCCCTATAGAGAGATTGAACAAGTATAAGTAGATACTCAATACTCGAAAAGCATGTAATCAATCAAATGAGAGAGTTTCTAGTACTTCTGGCATAAATATGATGCAAGGGCTTGAAGTTTCTGGTTCAAACTCTGTGCTGTTTGCATCATGAAAACCTAAAATGGAGCGGGCAAATTCAACAACAGCCAGCTGCATTCCCAGGCATATGCCAAGGAAAGGAACTTGATTTTCACGGGCGTACTTTGTAGCAAGTATCTTCCCTTGCACTCCTCGATCACCAAACCCTCCTGGTACTAGGATACCATCAGCACCCTGCAACAACGGAAGTGTAGAGTCAAACATATTTACCGAATTGATGTGCCAGGCTCCATTAAAATTAACCTACCTTCAAAAGATCCCATGCAGCTTTATGGACATCTGGCGCCTGCAAGTCATACAAAAGCCCATGAGACTAAATACATTTGTTTGTACCCTGAGAGAAACGAAAACCAGACTCACCTCCTGTGCAGTTATCTCTTCAAGGTCACTGGCTGCAACCCACTCTATGACAAGCTTCTTGTGACATGCAACAGAAGCATGCAAAAGGGCCTGCAGTGAAAGGTTGTTATAAGACACAGTTGTTATAAAGAAGTGAAGTATAAACTAAAGGTTGGGATTATAAAATGCATAACAATATTTGGTTTGTATAAGAACACAGAGATCCAATTACCTTCAACACAGAAAGGTAAGAATCAGTAAGGCCAGTGTACTTGCCAACCATAGCTATTCTCACCTGAAAGAGAAGACCATCGAGAATGAACAATGGTTTTCATTATATAGACACGCTGGCATAAAAAAAATTATTTAGAAAAAGCTGACTAACAGGATCTTGCAGTGTGTCATAAATTTTAGTCCTCGCAGTCCATTCTGCCAAGTCAGGCTTTACAGCATTACTGCAGAAGAAGCAAATGTCAAACGACTAGATAAAAAATCATCACAGACAAGCTTAAAGTGTGGAGCCTAGAGCAAAATAAAATTTACACTCAGAGACAAAAAAGTAAAAAAGATGGTTCATAAACAAACCTAAGGTTCAACTCTTTTAGGATGGCTTCGTGAGCCTTTTGATCCTGTTGGAGAGAAGTTAACACCAAAAGAATGATAAGAAAAAAAATCAAGCATAGGAACAAGTTCATTTGATTTCGTTAGTAAGAAACTATTCAACCAAATGTACTTACCCTTAAAAGCAGCGGAACATGCCAAATATTTGGAACATCATAGAGCGTTACTATATTCACTTCCTGAGAAAAATAAAAAAGCAGACAGAATTTTTACTCGGACAGGGGTCTTCTGATGAGAGATCTGACCTCCCTGCTCTAAGAAGAGCAAATAAAAACCAGAAATTCAACAACATATACCGGCACATGGCAAAATTGAGATAGTTTTGTCTTGACATTTTCTTCAAGTGCCTGTTAGAAAACAAGAACTGATAAGATTCAAAACCAAAATCCATAGCTAATATCAACACTAAAAGCACATGAAATTATAGGAGCGCCCATTACCTTTGTGCTGCGACATGCTAGGATATTTGGTGTCAAACCAAGGCTTCTGAGTCCTCTCACACTATGCTGGGTTGGCTTCGTCTTCTGCAATACAGATGTTCATATCTCCGTTATTACAAACTAATAAAATAGAACCTCCGTGGAAGATATCAACTATATAGGCATTACCTGTTCACCAACAACACTGAGAACAGGCACAAGGCTGACATGAACCAAGCAAAAATTACCAGGCCCTAAGAACAAAAGACAGATGTGATGATAGAGCCGATAAGCAATAGCCTAGGAAAATTACTGAAACTTCAAAAGGTGATATAAATTAGAGCACTGCTTACCAACTTTATACGAGAATTGACCAAGGGCCTCAATAAAGGGCATAGATTCAATATCACCTGTACAGAACATAGATTAATAAAAGCCACTCTTCTGAGCAATTATCAGGAAATGTAATATAATCCAACAAACAGTACCTATAGTCCCGCCTAATTCGATGACACAGACATCAGGAGGACCTTCCTTCCCATCCACAGGAACATTAGCTACACGCTCAATCCACTCTTGGATTGCGTCAGTAACATGAGGAACCACCTTAAATAAAGTTAAAAACTTTGTTCAAACACTGAATCAAATTAGAACCAGAGGAAGTTAAGTAAGAGCACGAGTACATAATGTCTGAACCTGTACAGTTCTTCCGAGGTAGTCCCCCTTCCTTTCCTTGTCAATGACTGACTGCAAAAATGAGGGTACAAAAATATGTAACCTGGTTCTAAGATGAGATAACTATTGAGAAGGTAGTACACATACCTGGTAAATCTTTCCAGTTGTTATATTGTTGTCACGGGTCAATGTACTGTCTAAAAATCGTTCATAGTTTCCAAGGTCCAAGTCCACCTGAAAGGGGTCACAATGCATCAGTTTGAGGAACAAAACTTGAGATGATTAGAAAATACATCGCAGAATCACAATACGACATACCTCTCCACCATCATCCAATACAAATACTTCTCCATGCTCAAACGGAGACATTGTTCCAGCATCAGTATTAAGATAAGGATCTGCATAAGGAATGTAACTAACTGTGAACAAAGGATCACATAGCCACAAATTCACTCAAATTGCTGCGCAATACAAGTCGTTACACAACAACAGGTGCCTCTTTGGCCAGATTATTGGTCGGAGAGGATCAATCCAGAGTGTTGCATGCAATCCAAAGTGAAAACAAAGACAATAATCTCACCAATTTTGATGGAAGTAACACGAAGACCACATGCTTGAAGAAGAAGTCCAATGCTACTAGCAGTGACACCTTTGCCAAGACCACTCACCACTCCTCCTGTCACCAAAACGTACTTCATATTCGTTTTTGTCTCTGCTTCTTCTTCTTCTTCACCTAAATCATCAACAACACAGAACACGGCAAGCAAAGCTAAGACTTTGAGACGAGTAATCTCTTGCTAACAAAGAGGAGATTATTGGGTATAGAGTCAAAAACAAGAAAGTGAGAAGAAGAAATTTACGAATTCTACCTTTCTCCAACAAAAATGGCCCTCTGGATTTTCAAGGCGGCGGCTTATAAGCTATTAACCTGCGAGACCCTCACTCTTATTTAAACCCAAAATTGAAAGCCAAAAATAGTTTTTTATTCTTTTTTTGGTCCAAAGTTTTTTAATCTCAAAATAAGAAAAAAAAATAAAAAGGGACTGAAACGGTAATTTCAATACCATGGTGAATTTATTTTTCTGCTTGTTTGTTCCTTGAGAATCTTGAGATTAAATTTAGGGTTTCTGAGTTTTGTGACACTCGTGTTTGTGTTGTGGAAGGTTGCATAATTTTGGTAAGATAGGCCCAAAAGAGTGTTTTGGAAAGAAAGTGTGCACATATTTTAAAAATATCCAATCAAAAAGGTATCAAACTTTTTGAGTCCCTCCTTTGCTACTTTCATCATTTGTCGTTATACCAGTAATAGATGCCTTCACATGTTTCATCAAATTCAAGAAGTCAACAAGTCCATGTTTTCTTCCTTTGCCTCTGTTTCTCATGTCCTCTTCTTCAACTTTCAAGTTCAAAAATTGGACCCACTTTTTGATTTAGCAGTTTGCACCGACATGCTTCACCGACATGTGTCTTGCTGAAGAAGCATGTTTCGTGCTCTGGCTCTGGCTCTCTGTCAAACTGTCACATCTTGTTGATACGTGTTGTTTCATCTTATTGTGGAGATTATTAGGTGTTTACTGATAATTGCTATCAACAAATCGCAATGGAAAGTTGGAAACGATATTTACCCAAGAGAACCGGCAGATAAATGCTCATTAGGATTAGGCCTGGGCATAATATCCGAACCCGAAGAACCGAACCGAACCCGACCTGAAAAACCTGATCCGAATCCGAATCCGAAGTTTTAAAATACCCGAACAGGTTCTAAACTTCACAACCCGAAAACCCGAACCCGAACAAGTACCCAAACATATCCGAAATATAAATACATAGTTATAATATATTAGTAATATTTATACGTGTAATAACCTAAGTGTCTAAATTATTCGGATGTTAAGATATTTTCGGGTGTTTTAACTTTTAACTACTTTTGGTTAGATTCGGATATAAAATACTTAAAACTTATAGATTTTTTGAGTATTTTCAATACTTTGCATAGAATCGGATACAACTTTTTTAATATTTGGATACTTCGGGTAAACCCGAATCCGAACCCGAAATACCCGATCCGAACCCGAAGTTTTAAAATACCCGAACGGGTCTTAGTTTTCTAAACACGAAAAACCCGAACCCGAAAAAACCCGACCCGAATATCCGAACGCCCAGGCCTAATTAGGATCATTGAGAGAAAAAAATAAATAAATAAATAAAATAATGGTGATGGTGAAGACAGTAGGAACAATTTTGCCTTTATGAACTCAATTGAGTAAAAGAAGACTCGCTCACTCAACCTTTTCTTTTCCGTTTTAGGATGATAAAGAGGAACTCAGGAGCGAGAAGCATTTTGAAACGAAACAGATGCACAACATAGCAAGTAAACTAAGATTACAACACGATATCATCTTATCTTACACAAAGCTGGGAAACTCATTGAGTAGTGTCCGTTGTTCCAGCAGCATCGGCTTCTGAAGTGGTCTTAGCCATCACCTCACCTGGAGGAGGATGGTCAAACTTGCATGTTGCCCCGTATTTGCAAGTCCCTGTCTTCATGTAATAAGGGCAATTCAGCGCACCCTGCAACAGTTTTTTTGTTTTGTCTATGAGATTAGCACACAAACTCATAACATGCAGGCTTCTAATGATACCACTTTATAACGTACCTCTCTTCTGGGATACCCTGCAAGACTCAGCTTTACATTTGGTTGTTGAGAAGCTTGATTGCTCGTTGCACTTAACCTATCTGCTGGGTGATGGAACCTGCATCTCTCTCCAAACTTGCACTCCCCTGTCTTCATGTAGTACTATAATATTGAAAGATAGGGCTTTTGGTTATATTCCAACTAACATGTGGGAGAAAAGGCTCAACGATTTCTAAAAGAAACAAGGATACTCACGTCACATTCTGATTGTCCAGGTCTTTGGGGATAAGTTGCTGAAAGCGCTCCAAGCTGTAACAAGTTCCACTCCAATTAAACCTCTAGCAACTAAGGAAGAGCTTTTGAATATTTCCCCAACATGAATAAACCATATACCGTGGGTTGAGTAAGAGTCTGGTAGAAGGAGGTAGCTGGTGTAACCATCCCAAGGTTTAAATTCGCAGTGTTCGACGAAACTAGAGAATAGTTTATCCCAGTAGCTTGGGGGATAAAAGCTGTGCACAAAATCAAAACATCGCACATTATGAGAATTAAGAGATGAAAGTGATATGTTAAAGGTTCTACGAACCACAAAGATTGACATGATCACAAACCAGTCCTCTCAGGATGATTGTAGCGACAAGTGGCTCCATACTTGCAGCTAATTATGGAAAAGGAAAACAAGTTAGAACGTTAATGTCACCTTCTTTATTTCAAGGTTGTAACCAACGAAATAGTATTATACAACAGATATTCACCTTCCGGTTTTGAGATAGAATGGGCAGTCCACTTCGCCCTGCAAAAGCTACAGTCTAATTAGTGAAACTATATTCTCAGATGTCAGAACAGGTCAGCATACAATGCTATTCATCAGTTCTAAGTATAGTGCCTATAAGATAGTAGAAAGTTCACCAATTGTGCCTATAAGATAATAAGTCAGTCTTATGCAAAGTGAAGATGGATTTATTACCGGTCTAACAGGTAGTCCTTTCGAGTTATGATACAATGCTGGGGTAAATGTGACATGCGGATTGTTTGTGGCATCAGGCTCACTGGTTAACCCCGCACTGCTACCATTATCCTGACTAGATGATGGTACCTGTATATCCTTTGGATGGTGGAATTTGCATGTTAAACCAAATTTACATTTTCCAGTCTTCATGTAGAACTGATGCAGAGTAGAAACATTGCTAAATTAATAATCAAAATTAGTTTCATATGTAAGAGAATTGACAAAAAAACGGATAGGTAAATCAATTATGTTTATATCTTACTGTGCACATAGGTTCAGAAGGCCTCTCAGGCAATGCATCTTGGGTTTCAACACTAACCTAAAATAAAGAAGAGCATCAGGCAATGCACAGCCAAGAAAAAACTAAAGCAGTACATATTACAAGCACAAGATTTTATGCGAGTGTCAGCAGGCAAATACACAACCTAGGGATAATATCATTTCGAAATGGAAAATTCACTTACTACAGCCTCTTCTCTCGGATGATTAAATTTGCACCTTGAACCATATTTGCAGCGTTGGGTTTTTATATAGTACTGGACAGCAGTGAAAACAAAAGAAAGATAGTCAGGTCCTCAGGCGAAACAGAGATCAAATAGCTCGAAAAGTTTTCACAAACAGCTTACAGGACAATCTGGTTCTCCTGGTCTCTCAGGGTACTCTTCATTTGGAACAACTGGTGCCTAAATGAAAAGATATTCATAAGAAAAAAACAATCATATCATTTTATCATGGAATGTCTAGACAATGAGTATGACGTCTCTTCCAAGTCAAGGAATGAACTGACAAAGGGAAAACAAACACGGTCGCAGAAGTCGGGAAGCTCAAATCTTGAATCACAATAAGATACCATTTGTCATACCTATACTATCATGATAATTTAGTAAATCTATGAACTCGTACACCAAGCAAAAACAATATATATATATAGTTACAAAGTAATTAGGCACAAACTCCCGCAGTAGAAAACATATAAGTACATAACAGAATATAGAAAAACGTTATCATAATAATGTAAATATCATATGAGGGCATAAGAAATACTTAGATAGTAGTAAACGATCACCTCTTTCCAATCTGGGATTCCGCCCTCAGGAACCCAAATAGGATGATCAAACTTGCAGCTATCTCCAAATTTACATGTTCTTGTTTGCATATAGTGGGTACAATCCTTCTCTCCTGCCCTCTGTGGATATATAGGCAAATGGCTTGTACTCTCCAACTTAGGGCGCTTGGTAAAATAGTCTGTAGTATACCAAGCTTCGGTTTGACCAATTGTATTATGGGCACCCAACAGAGTCGGATAGTAGAGCGCTAAATTACATAATAAACAATAATATACAACGAAATGAGAAGATATATACTGAGTATAAGTATAATTTGAAAGTAAATTTGGGGTAATAAATGTAGGAGATACTATAGCAGAAACCAAAATATAGCATCAAGAATCAATTGTATCTTTAGTTAAACTTACAGTAAGAAATTATGGCTTACATACAATCAATTCTGAAAGTCTATTGGAAACCATAGAGTTACAAGAAAATTTAATCATCAATCAATTCTGCAAAATCACTAAGTGTTCCAGTAAAAACTTTGAGGTCAGGTTTAATAACATTTGTCTTTAGGCAATTCTAAAGCAACAAAGACTTAATCAAGAACACTAGAATAAGCTATATAGTTTATAGATGCAATTCGATCTGAATACCTAAGCATCCCCTTAAAGATGATTCTAACTTTCAAGCTTTGCGTTGTTCAAACTCAAAACAAAGCAATTGGCCAAACCAATGCAACCTCTATTTCAGCTAACGAGAAAGCACAGAGGAACACAAAGCAACATCCTTGTGCTTGAGCATATGTAAATCAAAATCTATCCTAGAAAAAAATCAAGCTAGAGACCATGATTAAAGATTTTTTTATGCTGCAATTGACGAAACAAACCATCAAAAACACTCATTTCCGCTACAGAACTAGAGAATCGCGATGAGCAGAGAAAAGATAAAGCTGAAGTCTTTCAATTTTCAGATTATGCGGCATAGTTTTCCAAGCAATAAATAAGAAAATGATGCAGATCCCAGAAATAGTAAGGTAAAATAAAAAGAGCATACCTTCAGAGGTGCGTTTGACACCAGGCGGAAGTGGCTCGACGGCGGAAGCAGCACCTGGAACCTCCACACCAGGTGGCCAAGCTGCTTCCTGATGCTGAAGCAGCTGCGGATACGCCAAATGCGATGCCGTCGTGTTAGGCAAATGGTGGTACATAGCGGAGGACGATGCAAGAGTCCCTGAATAGTTGCTCAAAGCTTCGGATCCATCGCGAGCTAAGAAACGAAACGTGGTATCGGGGAAATAATGGTCAGCAGAAGAACCGTAAAGAGAGGAAAGACCGGTTTTTGGCGGCTGCTGTTGCGGCGGAGGAGCTGGAGATACGGCGGAGGCAGCAGCGTAAGAAGGTTGAAGAGCGTAGCTATACAATTGACGATGTGCCATTCGATTGAAAAGAGAAACCCTAAAGGAAAGCTTTCTACTTTTTGGTGTCAAATTATCAAATTGTTGTGTTTGTGGGGTTTACTTTATTGTTCCAAGTCTAAGCAAAGCAAAAACAACCAACGAAAACAGAACAATAATTCTCAGATCCATAAAACTGATTTGACATTACCACTGATTCTCTGTTTAATTGCAATTTGCACATTATTAAATTCTCTTTCTTTCTTATCAACACACCAAAAAAAGAATATAGTTTTTATAAAGCTGGGAGCTTTTTTACATAAGAGAATAAACACTGAAGGTGACTAAGAAACCGAACAAAGCTCCTGCTATGACTTCAACTTCAGTGTGTCCTATTGATTCTTTCAATGGAGGAGTAACCTCTTCACTGATATTGTCTGATTGCAATGCCTTATTAGATTCGTTGCCCTTTAAACTCATCACTTCACTTCTCCGAGCATTAGCTGTTAGTTTGTTCAACACTTTCGCATGTTTTCCAACTTCTCTCCTCACCCCCTGCAATGGTACAATCAATGAGATATGTTGAGACTTCAATTCAAAAGCGAGCCTAAGCTTTTCTCTATAGACCATTTTACCAATGGACTTTTAGATCCTACTTGTTATAATGCAAGTTAGAATTTTGGGGAAAGGGGGCAAATAATTACCTGGGCATCATACATGATAAGGCCAGCATAAACCACAGTAAGACCAAAAATGGAGTCAGCAAACCCCCTGAAGCCAAACCATATTCAGGAAATTGCATAAGCTGAATATATTTAAGAGAATTCAGAAGAGAAAAGGTTCAAGCTAAAGCACCTTTCAAAAGCAATTGCAGTTGCTGCAGCCACAACAGACTGATATTTCAAGAATCGAGCCAAAATGTCAGAGAAGTAGACAAACAAGATTATCAGAGGAAACAAGAAGGAAAAACAAAACTTACAGAAGAATGTGTTGAAGGGAAACCTCCAGCTTGAAAGACACTTCTAAATTCCAGATTTTTCCCATACAAAACCACAGAAGTGAATGGTTTTGAGAGCTGCCCAATCACAGCAGAAGTCCCAGCAGCTATGAGTACCTTCATGCCGGTGAAATCATAAGCCTAAGTGACGATGACCCTCCAAAAAAAGGGACGAAAGAGGAGAAAAGGCGAAACCTTGTTGTGGATGACCTCGGCGATATCTTGGAATCCAACATTGACAACGCACGAGGTGAGACGAGGTGGCTTCTTTGGGCAGCTTGCAAGATTGAATTTGGAGTTGGAGAAGGAGAAATAGAGATCATTGGCGTTATAAGACACAAAACAGTGCTTCAACATCTCGGTGCAAACGAAAGAGCTTGAGGATTACTTTGGTCGGAGGATGACGATAAGAAGGGGGCAGCGAGAAATTTGGAACCAATGGTTCTGACGCTCTGTTATGTCGAGAAGAGTGTTGTCTCTTGGGACATTTTAATTGACTCAAAGATGCTTTTGTGGATATTTTCAATGACAACAGAAAATCTGCTTTAACTCTATTAGTAAAACTCATGGATCATTTGTCTCTTAAATCAAGTCATTTGTTCTTCTTTTATAAATCACAATTTGTATTCGTCAAAAATTAAAGAATATGAACAAAAAGAAACATATAGAAACTTTCAGCTTGTGGAGTTTAAGTCTAAAAGTACTCGAAATCTATATAGGCCGTATCATCCGTGGGACCAGCAGCACAGGCGACCAGAGGCTCCGGCTTAATTGAGTTACAGTGATCACCAACTCCATGGCTCTTTGCCTTCCCTCTAGTGGCCGCGTACGGTCCCAAGTCCACAGGGTCGGGAATGTGAGGCGGGGAAGCACTACGCACTAGAGCCCAATTCACTCCTTCAAAGAAAGGGTGTTGCTTTATCTCTGTGGCTCCCCGCGTGTAAGCGATCCTTCTGTGAGGATCCTTCACTAGAAGTCCACGGATGAGATCACGTGCCGCTGAGCTCACATGCGGGGTATCCGGGAACTTCAGCGGCTGACCCACTACATTGTGCAGCGTGGCTCTGTTTCCCTGCCCCTTGAACGGGGTGGTCCCATGGAGGAGCTCATAAAGGAAGATCCCGAATGTCCACCAGTCCACAGCGCTGCCATGTCCCTCACCACGAATGATCTCTGGAGCCAGGTACTCGTGTGTGCCCACAAAGGACATTGACCGCACATCTGTTGGCTCTGCCATGAGCTCCGGCATAGAGAGGCCACCGAGGCCGGAATCTGATTTGGCTTTACGGGTTTTCTTGGAAGGGAGGAGGCGGGGGAGAAAGGCGGATGGATGCATGCAGCCATTGACGGCAAACTCCTCGTTGAGGATAGCACCTCCTCCGCTGCAGACTGAGGAGGACTTAACGAGGGTCGGATTAAAGGTGCAACGGAGGGAGAGGTCAAAGTCAGAGAGCATTATGTGGCCTTCATCTCGAACAAGGATGTTCTCTGGCTTTAAGTCTCTGTACACAACCCCCAGCATGTGTAGATACTCCAAAGCCAATAGCACTTCAGACGCATAGAACCTGTCAACAAACTCATCAGAGAAGATAACATGTAAGCTCCAAAGCCAAATAAATTGAATGTTATCTCTAACCTCGCGGCCTCTTCTGTGAAACGCCTGCTGGGTTGCTTCTGTCTGAGTGAATGGAGATTTCCGCCGCTGCAAAACTCCATGACCAAACAGTAGAATTTATCGGTCTCAAAGTAAGAATAGAGAGTCGGCAAGAAGGGATGATCAAGCAGGGATAGGATTTCTCTTTCGGTCTGTGCCCTCAGCAACTTGTTTCTGCTGGCCAAGGAGGCCTTATCCATCACCTTCATCGCAAAAAACCGCATTTGTCCCTCGCAGGTCTGCAAGATAAACACTGCCTATATCCCCATACCCTAGACGTTTCAGAAGCCTGAAGTTGTCGAGACCTATTTGAGGGCCTTTAGAAGCGATTGAGTTAATGGCATCCCACCTCACGTCCCCTCCCGTGTGAGGCTTGAAAGGTGTAGCTGATGGACCTACCAAGTTATCACCATATGCATAGTCCCCATTATGTCTAGGGGCTCTCTTGTTGTCTGGGGACTTAGTCCTGTGGTGGTGATGATTTCTGGCGCTTGGGGAGTATGTTTCAGATGTGGTTAAAGGAACAATCTTTTTGGGATCATAATGAAGATTTTTAGGAGCATTCTTCCGCATTGCTAAGCTATCACCATCGCTAGAATAGGTGTTATGCTTTAAATCACCCTCGCTATTGGTCCCTCTAGTCGCGGTGGGAGGTTCATGAGACTTTATCGGTTGATGTTTGACGAGAGGATCCATCTTCTTGGGATCGAAATGAGGGTTTCGGGGAACATTGTCTCCTAGTTTAAGTGAAAATGGAGAGAGGCTTGTACGAGGCGACTTAGGTTTTACGATTGGGTCTACCTCCTTGGAGCCAACATTAGCTGTGTTCTTCTTGGAAGCTAAGTCCATTTTCGGAATATCTCCAGATTGATAATGATTCTTCTTCCGTTATAAAGTAGTTCACCTACATCATCAATAAAAGAACCTTAAGATGTTTTGTGCTATGTAACATGATGACAAAAAAAAGCATGGGAAAACATTAAAATCACCTTTTACCTGAGATGATCACGCTTCCTTGCTGATGTAAAAGACAAGCTGAGGATAATCAAACCATGTCAAACCGAAGAAACTGCCACCAGAATCCAAGGGACAAAACATACAAAGAAAGAAGGATAATGCGTCAGAGAAACGAAAAAAAAAAGGTGAGGATCTTGAAACAGGTTTGGAAAAATCAAGAATGCGGACCATGTTTAGACATCATAAGTGTAGGTAGTTCCCATAATGCAAATCTCAAAACTCAAAAACAAAAGCCAGCTAATAATAATATGTTTTGCAAGATTCCAATACAGAAATGAAGAAAGAATTGTCCTGTCTTTGTAAACGTGTAAATCCCCTTAATAGTATCTCAACCTGGAAAAGCAGAGAGAGAGAATTTTTGAAAGGAGGAGACAAGAGGAGATGCAAAAGAGATGGAGAGAGGGAAATTTTCTTAGCCTCTCATCTCTCAACGCTTACATTGCCGTCTATTCCTCTCTCTCTCCCAAGTTTTTTTTTTGTGTGTCTAAATTAACCATTTTTTTTTCCTCTTTACCTAAATTGGTTTCATTGACAGAGACATATGTCAACAAATGCAGAGAGACATTGTTAACAAGAGAGATTTAGTTACAGTAATAGCTCACCTGGTCTCTCCTCGTCTTCTGCTTCTGACCAACGGAGAAACTGATGTTTCCAGATGAATTGTTCTCGACAAGTAGTGGTTCGAACCGTTGCAACGTTTTCTCGAAAAAGAAGCACTTTTTTCTCCATGACTCGTGAATTAGGAGTTGCGAAGTGTTTGTCTTTCTCCTCCGATTCCATTGGCTCACGAATAACAGCAACCCAGAAACACGGGAGAGAGGAGATATGCCACCACCGTCCGGCGATTTTATGATTGGGTTTTACGTTTACTTACTTTTTGGAAAGAAGGCCCATTTTAGCTAAGCCCGTACGAAATTTAGGCCCATCTTTGTATGTTCTTAGAAAACAGTTTCAGTTTTACTTCTTTTCTTGTAAAATGGAATTGTTGTTAACATTTTTAGTTTAAATGCAGATGTATATTCAATTCTGATATATTTTGTATAAAAAAAGTGCATTGACATTTTTGTAAAAGAAAAACTTAATGAGAGAAGAAAAAAAGGTAATGGATAAATGGACCGTTTTCCTAATTAAATACTGAGGGAAAAGAAGGGAAATATGAGTTGTGTTTGTGTATAAGTCAATGAGATAAGTACAAAAATCAAATTATAAGATAGATGATCCGGAAATTAAGCAATGGCGGGGCATGGATGATGTCATGAATTATGATATACACATTACAATTTACACACCATCTCCATCTTTCCTTGTACCATACGTCGTCTACACTCTTAATTAACGAAGGTGCGAGTATATATATATGGTCGTTCTTCTTTTGACATGTGTTTATTCCACACACATCTATAAACCAAAATGCAGTATTATTTAGTCTAGTAAAATATTTACTAATCAAGTGATCATTTCTTCATGTCACACGAATGCTATTAGCTGTTTTTTCTTCTACTTTAGTGTGGACCGATCCGTGATTTGCGGACCAAATCAATATTGGATCTATAACCACACAAAAACAAACATGACTAAATAAAGATCATATAAAATCAGATTGAGTTCAATACGAACCGCAACCGTTTGGCCCATTGCTGCATCTCTATGGGTGAGTTGTTTGATGACATTGGTGGGATCCAAACAACGAGGCGTTTGGTAATATCATGGATTGTGAGACTTTTAATTCAACCAACCAAAATTTGAGTACATCCACAACAACGACGGCACCCCCTCATGTGATCCTAATTAAAAAAATGAATACATTTTCTTTAATTTAGAAATATTCAATTTGGTTTTACGTATCATATCTGGTTTCATGTTTTCTTTGCCTCCTGGCCTGTTCATTTTCACGTTTATCATATAAATGGTTATAAATGAGTAGCGAACAAAATAAATATCGTCATGTGGCTACTTGCTCGTAATTATTAAGGTAAGTCGTTTTTCTACACTTGCGGCAGAGAATCAACACCGGCCTTTCATGCCTTTATCGGTTTCTCATCTTATAATTACATTTGGTCTTCTCACAATAAAATAAAACAGTTCAAGTATTAGCTAGTAATAAATATATACATTTTTGTTGTGGATACACCTTGTTACTTGTTGTTTTTCTTTTTCTTTTTGATAAAGCCTTGTTACTTGTTTTGTTTTTTTTTGATAAATTAAGCCTTGTTACTTGTTAGTGTTACCTACATTTAATTTTATTTAAATCACCGAAAAGACCCGTGATTAAACCAAATAATGCCTCCTTGTATTATTCAACCCTGTCGAGTTATTATGACAAATTAAAAGAAAAAAAATACAGTAGAACGCCGCCATGCATTAGTCTAAGCTACATAACCCATCCAACATATTGCTGTTTGAATCACAGTGCACAATTTACAATATTGGTAATAAAATAGGGGTCGATTGGACCATTTTAATTCCTATGTAAATATATAAATAGCTTCTTTTTTTTTTTTGCAATTGCTATATTATTGAATTAAGATAATGTAAGAAACATTTTGTAAGGCTGTCCATGAAGTCATTAGGGTTGTTATAATTTTTTTTTTCTTTTGTCGTCACCTTATAGGGTTGTTATAATCTTATTATTATTGGGTGCAAAACTGGCAGTTTGAACTAATCTCCTTTCCTCCAATGTCTTTGTCGTTCGTTTCATATTTCTCGAGCAGTTAGGATTTTCTACTACCTATAGTTTTATTACTTTATAATCTTAATTTACAAGTTCGGTGATACCAACTATATATATTACCAAAGATATAAAATAACATAACAAAACATGTCACTACTGTTAGTTCAATATATATACACATAGATGAAGTGATGGGAGATGGTGTTAATCGGTGACACTACGGGTATATACTATAGTGTTACGGATATGTTATGATTTATAATGAGATAAAATTGTTTATAAATTTGAGTTTAAAGAAGACACGAGACAATGTAGCTTGGATTGGAGTTCAACGCAACACAGTGTACACGCATCTCTTTCGATTCGGATAATCCAGGTTATATTTGTCATGTTTAATTGTGTCTCTCTATCTTCTATAATACAGTTTTTTTAGTTTTAAATTCGAACCGACGATTATAAAATCTAAGAAATTCTAGAAGACTCCAAGGATGCAAATGACAGCCAATGAGAATATGACAGCTACACATCATACTCTCGCCATTGTAACTTTGACTCTCTGCCGTTCTTGTCCTCACCACGTATAATCCATCCATACATATATTATACCTACCCTCAATCATATCAAACGTATTTTGGTCTTTTGTTTGTTTCTTAAAATTTCTGCCGTAAGTGTTACCCTTAATTACGTTTGCATATATACCTTCGGTTTCTTCCTAGTGGTCTTAAATAAGTTGAAAAATAACCGACGATCATGCAAACTCTAACTTTGTTACTAATAATTTGTTGGACCAATCAATTGTAGATATGGTTTCTAAAGAGTTTCTCAAACGAGAAAAGTATCTATACTCTTTCGTTTTTCTTTTTCTTTTTGAATTTTAATAGGAGATCTCTAGATCTTAATTAATGGAACTACTTTTACTACTACTAATCTTTAGCGTGATTTTTCATTTTTATTCATCTTAAATATATATATATATATATATATATATTTTTTTTTTAAAATATTGTATAAATGTAATTTCAGTTTCGAATTGTAACATAAATTATTGGAGTATCCAATAGTTAAAGTTGTCATAAAATAAGTGAGAAACTCAATAATTTCAGAAAAGATCTCATTATATATCTGTCATTGCTGACTATTACATTAGCTACATTTCAAAAGGTTTACTTTTGTTTTCTTGTTGAATGAACTAACTAAAAAGACGAAGAAAAAAGAAGTGAAATTAGCCGGGAGTATCTGTTCTCTAAACATTACGTATGGTCGTACTATGGGATAATGTCTAATACTTTTTGAATATCAGAGGAATAAAAGAAAACTTAAAGGAGTGATTTGGTTTAGGGGTTTATGACTAATTTCCATAAAGCTTGTACGCGGAATACAAACGTGGACATGTCTCGTTTCGTCTTAAGTAAACACTAATTGTCGTAAATGGTTAGTATTAAAAGCCCTTAAGTTATTAACTGATTTAAAAAAAAGGAAGAGAGAGAAAGGCGTTTCATCAATGTATATATATAAATACTCTGTTTTGGAAACAGAACCCAAAAGGGGCAAAAACAAGAAGACGAATCAGAAAAATGCAGAGAATCAAGACATCGCTCTCGTGTCTCTGTCTCATCACGACGCTCCTCCTAATCACCGCCGCAGATTCCACGGAAGACACGGCGGTGCGGCTAAAATTAGCGCACAGGGACACACTCTGGCCAAATCCTCTCAGTCGCATTGAGGACATTATCGGTGCCGACCAGAAGCGTCATAGTTTGATATCTCGGAAACGTAAGTTCAAAGGAGGAGTGAAAATGGATTTGGGATCAGGGATTGATTACGGAACGGCACAGTATTTCACGGAGGTTAGAGTTGGAACTCCGGCGAAGAAGTTTAGAGTAGTGGTTGATACAGGAAGCGAGCTTACTTGGGTGAATTGTAGATACCGTGGGAGAGGCAAAGGTAAAGTTGAGAATCGGAGAGTGTTTAGAGCTGAAGAATCTAAGAGTTTTAAAACTGTTGGATGCTTTACTCAGACTTGTAAAGTTGATTTGATGAATCTTTTCTCACTCTCTACTTGTCCTACTCCTTCCACTCCTTGCTCCTATGATTACAGGTACTTTCTCTCAATTGGTAATGGTGATTGCATTATTTAATACAGACTCAAAAAATGTGATTAGGTAGATTATTAAGGAGTTTGTGGTGATGGTGATTGTGGAATTTAGAGACATTTTAATGGAGAACAATTTACTGTTTAAGGTTTTGTGTGTTTTTGAGACAAGATATTTTAGAAAGGTTTGGGAAAAGTTTGGTGGTCAATCAATGAGAGAGAAGAGGGACCTCTCTTTCTCTGTCTCTCTTGTCACCATATCATTGTCTCTTCTCATCACATGTTTTTTGTTCTAACAACTATTTAGAGAACTCTTTGGGGTGGCATGGATTAGATGCAAGTGTATTGTAAGGGAGGGTGAAATTAAATGTGAGTTGAGCTACAATTCAGCACAATACATAAATGTCACTTATTGTATGACTTGTGAGTTAGGTTTGACATTTGAGCATACATAAATTCAAACCTCTCTTATGACATTTGACCTAATGCAAATTGTTAAACCAAGTTTGTGCATTGTATTTAACATTAAATTGATGGGGTGGAATAGATATGCGGATGGGTCAGCAGCGCAAGGCGTATTCGCAAAGGAGACTATCACAGTTGGTCTCACTAATGGTCGTAAGGCTAGACTCCGCGGTCTCCTCATTGGTTGTAGTAGTTCGTTTAGTGGACAGAGCTTTCAAGGAGCCGATGGGGTTCTTGGTTTAGCCTTTAGCGATTTCTCTTTCACTTCCACAGCCACTAGTCTCTTTGGTGCCAAATTTTCCTACTGCCTCGTTGATCACCTCTCCAACAAAAACGTCTCCAACTATCTCATTTTCGGCTCTTCCTCCTCCTCCACCTCCACCAAAACCGCCCCGGGACGAACCACCCCGCTTGATCTCACTCTCATTCCACCCTTCTACGCAATCAACGTCATTGGAATCTCTCTCGGAGACAACATGCTCGAAATCCCCACGCAAGTATGGGACGCAACTACCGGTGGTGGGACTATCTTGGACTCAGGAACTAGCCTCACGTTATTGGCGGAAGCCGCGTACAAACCGGTGGTTACAGGGCTCGCACGTTACCTTGTTAAGTTGAAAAGAGTCAAACCAGAAGGAATACCAATTGAGTACTGTTTTAGTTCCACGTCCGGGTTCAACGAGAGTAAGTTACCGCAGCTGACGTTTCATTTAAAAGGCGGTGCCCGATTTGAGCCGCATCGTAAAAGTTACCTAGTAGATGCAGCGCCTGGAGTCAAGTGTTTAGGATTTATGTCGGCGGGAACGCCGGCGACTAATGTGGTCGGGAATATAATGCAGCAGAATTATTTGTGGGAGTTTGATCTAATGGCCTCAACTTTGTCTTTTGCTCCTTCTACTTGCACTTAGCTGTCTTGTCCATCTCTCTTGTGTTTATTATTACTTTGATTGATTGGAATATATATATTGTTTGTTAGTGAATGAATAAAAAACATGTTTGTTATAAAAAAACTTACAATATGTTGAGCTGGATAACGAATACACACACACACCTCTATTCATCATCATCTTGTAAACCGTTTGATCGCATCCACTGCCTTACAAGATTCGTCATTATTGGGCCTTTAAAAGATAAGGCACATTTATACCGCTAAATGGGCTGTACAGAGAGAAGATAAATTCGTCACTAATGGGCTCATAAGCCCAGTTCTAATAAGTTTACACTCTGACTGTCTGACAAACAAGGCTGCTTCTGAAAATAGGAATCTGATTGCATCGCTGTTTCAATCCCATGCGCACTCTCTCAAAGCATATTTTCTTTCTCTTTTCTTTTTCCACTCTGTCTCACTTCTTAAACATTAGTAAAGCTTGTAGAATACTCTGTTTTGTACCAAAAATATCCCATCTTTGCTTAAAGATCACATCATCTTCTTTTACCAAAAAAAAAAAGATCACATCATCTTGAACACACACACACACAACAAGTTAAAACCTTCTAATGTAAAATATGTCCAGATGGTATATTAAGAGAGTGAAGAAGGAGCGTTGTTGACGTTGGAACTTGTGAAAAGAATAAAAGGGTGGAATTGGGAAATAAGTTGGGGAATGGGGGGGAAACACATTGTCACATACCCAATGACCAATCCCATCATGGCATCCACTAAAATGATCCAATCATTATTGGTGACAGAGAAGCATCACATGCTACATCATCATGATATTTGCTTCTACGAGAATCAATCACTACTTACTCTTCTTTCAATAGTACAAATGAAGATATAAAATACTATCATAGACCATCGTATAATATTTATATGTATGAAAACCAAGAACGCTCAAGTTTCCCATGAACGGATGAACCTCCTCAATGTCATACATGACAGCTAAATTAAATGTTCTAAGGTTTGGTCGTTTAGGCGGCCAATATTAGCCAGCAAGTTAAATTTTGGTCTAATTGATCACTGGAAAAAGTTAAAACGACATTTGTTTTAGGTGTTCGATTAAATTATTTTTAAACTCTTTAAAAACCTTTTCGATATGTTTTTGGGAAAATAGAAAAAACTGTTCTAATTTTTTTTTTCTTTCTAGGTTACTCTATTGTAATCGTGCTTTAATTTTTTTGCCAAGATTACTCTATGTTCTAAGTTTTTCAATACATGTACTTTCATTGATAATGATACTTATATTTAAGCAAAAAAAAAACAAAAAAAACAAGTAAACATAGTATAAGAATACACTAATACGAAAAACAAAGTTCCGTTTTATTTTATATCAACTGGCCTTTAGCGAGCCTATCAAATTTTTGAACAACAGATAAATCCAATGAAAATCAATTACTATTTCAATTTGTCACACCACACATACATCAAAAACCATTATACATGTGATTTTAACACCTCACACACACACAAGAAAAAAAACAAAACCAGCTAATTTATCTTACATTGCCAATTTAAAAAAAAACTGCAATCTCTTTTCTCCTACACCTACATTTTGCACTCGAAAGTTAAATAAAAACAACACTTTCAATTAAATTAAAAATTAATAATTAGGGATTGGTTGCCAGGACAGTGCAAGGAATGTGGCGACAGCAAGTGATTAAGTGGTCGTTAGTAAGACCAGCCGCTTGCATGAATGAGTGAACCACAGTGGGACCCACAAACCGGAAGCCTCTACGAACCATGTCTTTGCTTATGCTCTCCGACTTCGATGTCTTGACCGGAATCTTGTGTCCCAGCTTGTAGTTCGTGGAGATGGGCTTGTGGTTCACAAATCCCCAAAGGTATTTCTCTAATGACCCAAACGCTTTCTTGATCTCTACGATCTTTGTAGCATTCTCCACAACACCTCTCACTTTGCTCATCTCTATCTTGAATTCGATGCTTATTGCATTCATCTCTTTCTCGGTGAGTTTGGCAACCGCTTCCGCCTCAAACTCCATAAACGCCTTCCTATAGTCATGGCGTTTTCTCAAGGTTGAAGTCCAATCGGAGCCTACTTGTGCGCCGCTTAGGGTCAGCAGTTCGAACAACGTCCTGAAAATTAACAAAATTAATTTATTTTTGACCAAAATGAAATAATATATAATGACATGTTGTTATTTGGAAAGAAGTATTAATTATGTCACGCACTTGTCATCATGAACTGGAACTCCCCATTCTTCATCATGGTAGGCCACGTAAATAGGATCTAAAGGTAACCAAAAAAATCCGTTAGGAATCCAAGTACATATTATAAGATGACAAAAAAACAACTTAAAAGTGATATATGAGGGATTTAAGCTAATTCAGCCATTACTAATTGATTTTGAATGGAAAGGAGGTGAAACTTAAAAAAAAAAAAAAAAAAACAGATCATGTCAAGAATTTACATTGACGAATAGAAAAAAAAGTAATAAAGAGATAAATGGGTTTATAAATACCAGAAGTGGGGGTGAGGAAGCTGCATCTCTGAGGATGAGGGTTAGGGTTAGGGTGAAGAAGAGGGACGACTTTGGAAGAAGTGAAATTAATGGTTGATTTGGATCTGCCGTAATGAGCAATCTTTAGCTTCCTTAGGGCTTGTTGTGCCGCCACTTGCTCTCTCCTCACGGCGGCTATACTCCCAGGAGCCTCCGTTATGAGCCAAGAAGAATAGCTTTCTCCTTCCTTAAAACTCTTTGATTTCTTGCGCTCCAAGCTTCCTCTCACTTTGGCTGCACCATTGCTCATCACACTGTCCCTCTTGAGGGACTCAGAGCGGTCCATTAGGCTACTGCAACTACTTGGCGGCAACATTCCCCTTTTGGTCAAGCTTATTGCTTCGGTTTTGCTCATATTCTCTATATTTGGTGATGGATGCTGATAATTTGTAGTAAGAGAGATAGAGAAGGGTTGAGATAATGATAATGATGAGAAATAGAGAAAAGAAGTGATTGTGGACGTATATATATCAACTGTGAGAGGCAGAGAGAATTGAAAAGTAGTTATATATATGGGTAATAATAATATGTAAACATTATTCCCAAGTGAACATTATTCTAAAACTAAAACCGTGTGGATCAATTTTGAATTAGTATTGACAACAAGTAACAACAAAAAAAATAAAATAAAGAGAAAGAATATAGAAAAGAGAAGAGGCAGAGCATGTGCAGGATTTGATGCAATGATGCCACCAAATCATCCCATGTGACCTTTAAGTCTTCCCCTAACTATTTGTGTTTACTTTTCTTTTGGTACTTCGATATTCTTTCTTGTATTATTTTAGGCTGCTTTCCTATATTTTTGTCATATTTTCGGTTGGTATCCTATAATTTTTTTAGCAGATTTTCTTTTTGTGATTGTTATCACACACATTAAAACCACATTTTCCAAAAGCAATTCTGTTTTATACAAGAATAACTGTATATTAGTCAACAACGATTCAAGTGTTTTTCTTTCAATTGTATGTCACCGTATCTACTAACGTTCTCGTTTCATTTACTTTTTCATATATAATTTATCTCTTCATGTACAATTAGAATTTCTATGGAATGCAAATTTTAACATTTATACAAGTAGGACGAAAAAAGAAGAAGAGAAATTGGGTGAATTTGAAATTAAAGGACCAGAACCAAAGTAATTAAAGTGTTTACGACGAAGGAGATAAGAGAAGAGACAGACCATGTGGTTCCACTTATCCTATATATCCATTATTACCAATACTATAATAATAAACACTACTTAATACATAGTATCCTTTATTCTCGATCTAATGTACATGCCTCGGTGTCGTCTTCGTGTTGCTTGCTCCTCAATCATTTCAATATACATGAGATTATTATGTTTGATTCATCCATTTTGTTCATTTCAATCAATATTTCTAACGCGTAACGTAATAATTGGATTTCCATTTTATGAATCTTCTTCTGATTAATGTAATTGACTTTTTCAACACCTGTGTATATTCATGTACAAGTTCTAAGCCCACAATTTAATTCGAAGAATGTAGTAACGGGTGAGACCATGTGGTAATGTAACATGTTCCCTCTTTGCCGTCGCTCTTCCCACGAAGTTTCTAGCATTATTGTTTCCGTACCAATCAGAGCCGTAGCAACGATTATGAGGGCCGCCCGCGAGAAAAAAAAAAAGGCCGCTCTAGAAAAGTGTATACTTATAAAAAAATTTAACCATAAAAAAAAAACAAAAAACAAAAAAAAACCTTCTCTCACGCTTCAGGTGATTCGAACTCATGACCTAAGATATGTGGTGCATTGACGGACCCACTAAGGCAATTAGGGGGTCAAATGACACACCTAAAATTTTGGTATTTATTGTTTTTATATTATAATTATGTTGGTTTCACTAGATAAAATGGTAAAAACACCCTTTTGACCCCCCTAAAATCTAGATGGACTCTCTTTTTGACACCCATTCTATCAGATTTTATTTTTACCTCTAATTTCTGTTATTTTTTTTCTTTTTCTTTTTGGTTTACACCTTCTATTACACTTTCTTCCATAGATTTTCACGTATTTTTTATTTATTTTTCAGTTATTTGGTTTTATTCCTTTTTTGCTGTCAAACAACACTTCATTTATACATTTTTTTAAAGTACAAAAAAAAATAGAGAGATACTCTTGATAGATTAAAAACATATTATTAAGCCAAATTAACTTCAAAAGTTTTTTCATCATAAAAGAAATATTTAATGTTAAGTTATTATATTATGACCCCGGTAAAATTTATTTCTGGGTCCGCCACTGATGTGGTGTATGACATAATACTACTAGGCTACCAAAACACATTGGTATTTGAGGGCCGAAAATATTAATAACTTCTCGGAGGGCCGCAGCTCCCGCTTCTCTTGCTTCTATCCAGCTACGGCTCTGGTACCAATCAATGGAGTATCGTCGTAGTCTCATCAATCATAGTGAACGCAAGATTATTGGGCCTCTATTGGGCTACTTTGTTTATTGGTACGAATTTTACACCCATATTTCAACATACTTAGCCCATCTGGTGGGTTGCCCAAGTATAAATAGGCGATATTGAAGCCTAAAGTAAAATACGTGAAAACTTAAATTTGCACATTACAAAGTCTACACTTAGTGGGATTAATGGGAAAAAAATGATACACTGATTTGGAAAAATCTCAGCTTTTCAAAACTAGTGAAAAGCAGAAAGTGGCAATTATTCATATATATACACTTGAGAAAATGAAAATATTGTAGAGTAAAAGCTAAAAGGTCCAGCTGCCAAGATCATCCATGGGATTGAAATCAATAGACATTGCAGAGGAGAAAATGGAAGCAAAATCAGGATCAAAAGCAGAAGAAGAAGGAGTATTAAACAAAATGTCCATGTTGAGATCATCATCATCCACTCCCACTACTGCCTTATCACCCGGCAACATCGGAGCTTCGTGGATCGCCGTTCCATCAACATCTGACCAATTAGGAATCATATTCTCATCATCTAAAAGACTTGACATGGTATCATTGATAGGGATCATGGTTTGAGATGGGATTGGAGTCTGGTTAGGAGACTTAAGTCTGTTTAGTTTAGTGGAAGTGGGAGGATTGATGTTTGTGATTGAGAAAGCTGTGGTTGATTGATCAAGATCAGTAGGGTTCTTCATGATGGACGTCGTTTTGTTTGGCTTGGGAATATTATTATGATTAGAAGAAGAAGATCTTTTGTGTGAAGGCATAAGATTATGTGTAGAAGGATCTAAGCCTTGAGAAAGAAGTTTCTTCTTAATGCATGAGTTCCAAAAGTTCTTGACTTCATTATCAGTTCGTCCAGGCAAGTGCTTAGCAATTTGAGCCCATTTGTTACCAAGAATACGATGTACATCGATGATAATCTGCTCTTCCTCCGCGTTAAACGTACCTCTTTTCAGATCAGGCCTTAGATAGTTTATCCACCTTAATCTGCAACTCTTCCCACATCTCTGCAACCCTATATACACACATACGTAACGTTAGGAATCCACATTGAAAATATCGTATTCAAAGAAAATAGGCTAAGCTAATTTGTTTTTTTTTGAATTGAAAGCTTATTATTACTCACAAACACATACTTTATGTTAGACTAATGAACAAAAAAGAAGCAAAACAAAAAAAGAAGAAGAGAGAGTTAGAGATAGAAGACACAAAACCGGCAAGCTTTGGAACGGAACTCCAACTAGGATGACCATGAGTGGTGATATAACGAAGAAGCTTCTCGTCTTCCTCTGGAGACCAAAGTCCTCTCTTCACTTTGTGTTTTCCACAGCATCGATGTCCCATTTCATCTCTTTTCATTTCCCATTTCTCTCTCATCTTCCTAGTTTATATATTACAAGGTCTCTTGGTGTTAATTAACCAGCAGGAACCAGGTTCACTATTTGATTAATTTTCCCTTATCAGTACTAATATCTTTCTTAGGAGAATTGATATATCTACTATATATGATTAACCAAACTTGTGTCGTTTCCCTTTTTCTCTGTGTGTCTTCAAATGGAAGCCTGATTAGAGACACCAGTAGTTCACGTCACTTTCCTTAACAAAATCATCTATGTATCTTGTTAACTTGTGTTTCTAGTTATTGACATACATTGCATGCTTGGAATCCTGTAATTATCAGTTTAGTTTAATGCAATGGTTTAATGATCTTACATACTATGCTTTAACTAGAACACTTATTACTTCTTTTTTTTCTTTTTCTTTTTGACGCATTACTTGTTGTCTACTAGACTTCACAATTTTTCGGAATATTGGTAAGAAAAATAGTAGAATAAAACACAAGTTATTATCCTCGGATCATTAATTACGTTATGTTAGATATTGAATGACTCAATTGGGTTTTATTACCCCTTCACTTATAGGTTATATAACACATATATATATATGGTCAAATGCCATTGAGTATATATATTAAAGAAGGTCATAATTAATTATTTCTTTCTTTTTTTTCCTTTATACTACTCTTTTTCTTTTTGGGAATTGGCAGTAGTAAAATTTTAGAACCCGTGTCTAAACAATTCGATCATTTTTTTTCTTTTAATCTAGGAAAGACTTAAGACTTAACACAAACAAATTTCCGGAGTCTATAGAAAAATTAAGTAGTCTTTAAATCATATCAATCATGATTGAAATCACGATATAAAAAAACCTCGAATTCTAATCTAGAATGGAACCTTCAAACCAATAAACCACAATGATAACTTGGGGATGTTGTAACGTAGAACTCAATATGAACAAAATTAGTCCCAGCCGGCTACTTTTATGGTCACCATGGGAGACTTTTCTGCAAATGGCTTGTTGACAGTCGTAGACGCGAGCGAGCACTTAATTTTGGATATTAGGAATCATATATACTATATAGTATTAACATCCGTAAATACGATTCATTTACTAACAAATTAGTTAAAATTAGAGGTAAAGTAGGGAGCACGATTGCATAAAATTCAGACCTAATCTCAACTACTAAAAATTGGATCATTCCCTGGAGCTTCCGAATAACAATTCCTCTTAAGTAAGCCACGTACGTGTCAAGCTTAATATATATGGAGAGATAGTTCTACAACGCAACGTTTATTTGAACCCGTCAAGTTAAACGTAAGAATAAACTAATATGTGGGGAGAAAGCGGTTAATTAACATAATAATATAAATCCGTCGCTGTTAATTACCGTATTATGTAAAAATCTTTGTGTAGATGAAGCTTCGTATATTTAACTATACACTTGTTTTAGTTTCCATTAATATAACGTAGTCCTCTCTTTCGGTCTTTTTTTCTTGCATTTAAAATCTTTCTATATTGATAAACCCTAACCATGGGTAAACTGATGGAATAGACCACTTGGTACTCTTTTTATTTTCTATAGAAAAATATAAAATTATAGAAGGAAGAGGCAATTGTTGGGCCATTCTGGTATTAATTTGACATCATGAAGTCAGAATGATGTAACACAATTCATTTTTGTAAACTTACAATAACTGGGTAATCATGATTCATGAGTTGCAAGAGACACGTACATGATTTAGTTGTCCGAGTAGTAACTAAGAAGCTCTCTATACGTAGCTGGCTCTTTTCTGGATTTGTCTTTCTTGGTTCAAGATTTTTTTTTTACTACCAAATGTTTAGTTAGCAGTTTAATTTACATTATTCAACATGATCAACATTGTGATTTGGATTTTTTTTGTTTAACGATTAATTTTTGGGGTTTATAATTTTGTAGACCACAATTTGTTTTAATATATTTACTTATATTTCAGCTTAAATGGTATATAAAAAATTCTTAGAACGAGCGAACTTGACAACTTGCATATGTTGCTAAATGTAAAAACGAGACATGTAATTACATTTTTGTTGGAAAGAAAAGGTGAGAAACAACGAATAATAACAAAGATCTGAAAACTGATGAAGTGTGAGAGAAAACAAACATCACATATACTCCATCGTCCAATCTTATCTTTAAGTTATGTACCAGTCCTTACAAAAGATTAAAAAATTACATCCATTTTTGACCGTTTCAGATCCACAAGACTTCCATTGACTCGTCAACCGACATACTTGAGACTTGAGAATACAACATTACCAGACTCTCTTGCTGGTCTATGAACCCTCAAATAGTCAAATATATTGACCATTTATAGTAAATGGGCTTTTCTAATTTTTAGGCTTTTGGCCCTAATTTCAATTATTGCACACTATTACAAAACTATCAGAATGTGGACACATGCAAATTTTCAATAATTCCAGGAAATGGCAAAATTTCGCAAAAGCCTGCAAGTGCAGCGATATTTTATTTAAGACTGGAGATGAACAGAACAGTATCGGTGGGTGGTGATGACTGATGATGGCTAGAAAAGTGACTAGATAGATAGACGTAAGATTGATCGGTTATAATTGTGCATGTAGACTTTTTTTAACAAAAATTGACCGTAGAGAGTTTGCATGTAAATGGATGTGACTTAAAAATATATATACTCAAATATCATGGCTTTCAGAAAGAAGAAAGAAGAAAAAATACCCCTATCGAAAGAACAAAAAGCAAGAAATTATGTTGTGAGAAGGATCGTATATATCATTGTGCAAGTGAACACATATAATAAAACACAAGAATTGTGATATTCATGAGGCAGCATACTTCACCACACGTTGCACATCATTGCATTCAAATATCAAGGGAATAACGGAGACTTCATGTTTGGCAGAAGTTATTACAAGTAAATTTGTGCAATTTATACACCAAAGTGCGCATTAGAAACTAGAGTAGAAAGAGTCAAATAGCTAGATCTATATATGTCTTCTCTAACCGAGACAAACCGTGCTAGATCTATATATGTCTTCTCTAGCCGAGACAAACCGTGCGGCCCTTAGTGATCGAACTCCGAGAATCTTGCAGGGAGAAGTTGGAATTGATGTCGGGGAGAATCAACGCAGAGTCCATGGAGGAAGAGGAAGGAAAATGATCCTCGAACCATGGGATTGGGATGGACGATGTGTTGTTACAAATATTGGTGCGGTCGAAAAAGAGAGTAGAGTAGTCTTTAGTGAGGCTTGCTTCTTGGGTTTCACATGCTTTTTCTAACATGCTCTCCATGTATTTCCCTTGTGCTTCTATCCTTTGATTCACCTGTCTCTCTATTTCTACTTCTTCCTCTATCCTTCTTTGCACCTCCATTTGCATCCTTCATCACCATCCATAAATACCATTTTTATATTATAAGATTTTGAGTAATATATCTATTTATATTTGAATCAATATAGTTAAGACTTTGAATTGAAAGCGCATACTCGTTCATATTGCGACCAATGATCAGCGGACTAGTCGTGAATACACCATTCCTTCGAAGATCCAACATGGAAGCTGCATGCATGATGTTGATTTACATATATCACAGTTACAAATGAATTAACCAACATATATATATGGTATTAAGGTTAATGAATTCTGACGGACCTCTATTTGTATCTCTAATACTAGTGGAGTGATTTTGACTATGCTCCTTGTGAGGCTGCTTTCCAAGTCTGAACTTCTGTAGTTGAAACACACATATATGTTTTAAATCCTAACTACGGCAAAATTAGAAAGGAAACCAAGAAGAAAAAAATTAAAGAAGAGGAAACTAAAGGAAGAGAGTAGAGACCTGGAGATGGCTCTTGAGATGATAAAGCGTGAGACCCTTCACACCCATTACTCTCATTATCGTCTTTGGTGTAGCCTCTGCTCATATATATCCCAATTAATATAGCTCTAAAGTTTATTTGTAGAGAGAGATTTATGATGATGATGATGAAAATTAAACGTACTGTCAGGGCCTCCAAGGTGAGAGACGGCGTCAACGAAGCGTTCATGTAGCTCAGTGGTCCAGCGAAGGCGAGGCTTAGGGTCAGTGGTGAGGACGAGACCTGATGATGACTCATCTCTCATCTCATCTCTCGACTGCATCATTCAACTAACAAATTAAATGCCGACTGATGATGCTCTATTCAACAAGAGAATATATATTAGTATTTATGAAAGATGAAAAAAGGAACACACGAGGTCGTAGCAAATTTTAAGTATAAATTATGGAGTGACATTGACATAAATGATTTTTAATATATGAAAATAATGGGAGACATATCTATATATGCAGTAGGGTTTAGGCTTTGAAGTTGTAAACCATGCAAGCTTTTTTGCATCCACACATGTCTAAATACCAAAAAATCCAAATTTATATGGCCAACTCCTTCTATTTCCAATGTATTGACGCATGTGGCCTTACACATTCATACGATACGAAATTACTTTTTTCATTTAGATATATGCACATGCATGGGAATAAGGAACAAAAGCATCTTATTTGTTTAATTAATCTTAGATAAAAAGATTCGTGTACTTTGTAGCTTTCAATAAAGATGACAAGTGGAACAAAGCTGATGTTTAACTTTTAGCTCATCAATTAAGTTATATGTATGCAAATAGGAATCAGAAGTTGGAAAAAAAAAAGAAGGAAGAAAGTATTTGTTTTGTTAGCTTAATTTTTAAGCAGCTTCTTGTCTCCTTTAATTTATGGATTTTTCTTATATTCTTCTACAGATGAATCTATTCCCTTTCATATCAGACACCACTCATGACTCATGATGATTCAACTCAAAGAAGACTCTGACTCTCTTGAGTATCAAACCAATATGAAGAAGAAGACTTGTCTTGATCCATTAAGATACAAAGCACTACCAATATTGGACCCAAGAAAAAAATGGCGGCCCTTTTCAAAGCAGTTTTTTTTTTTTTTTTGGTCAAGATTCAAAGCAGTTTAAGCCCAAGTTTTATTAAAGGCCGATTAGTTTGAGCCCTATTATTTGGTCGCTATCTATTATCTCCGCGTCCTAACCAGACGTTTTTGTCGTTTGCCATGCATAGATATTTTTCAATTTTTTTGACCCAGTCTATAGTCCTCATACATCATCAATTCATAAAATAATTAAGCAATTTAGCAGATAGATCTTTTTTATTTTTTATTTTTTTTGGTTTCTTGTTCTTGTTCTTTTTTTTCTCCCTGATTTAATATTCATGCTGTGACCATAATAAGTCCATAACAAAATCAAATAATTGGTCATGCATTAATTTCGTAATATTTAGTTGTATTTTTCGTATTTTCAGCTTTTAAAAAAAACAAAACAGAGTAGTAACAAAAGAAAAAATCTTTACCAATAGGCAAGTGCCACGATCCATCCTACGAAACTTCAATTTTTGGGTTTCTCTTCTTCTTCTTCTTCTAGATCGAGGGACATGGGTCTTACCAGCCGCCGTTGACGACTACGACGACCATTCTCTGCCTCTTCATCTTCTAGCCTCCTTCTGCTTTTCTCTATTTCCTTCTCCCCCATTCACCACACAGAGATCTACCTTGTTTTTTTTTTCTATCAGCTATGTCTTCTAATACGCCATCTTCTAGCGCCGCCGCCGCTGCCGGATCTGTAGATTCTTCCGCCGCCCGGAGAAACTCCAAACGACCCAAGTGTATTTTTTCTTTCCCTCTTCATCATCTTCCTCTCGATTCTCGTCTGTTAGATTTAGTATTCGCTGTGTCTTTGAATTTTGACTTCAAGTTCTTTAGTGGGTACACCAAAATTATTATTAGGGTTCTTACTTTTTCATTGAAAGAATTGAATTTTAGTTGGGAATTTTAGCTAGGAATCGAGAATGCTATAGCTAAAACTTGTTTGATCTGCAGATTCGAAATTTACACAGCAGGAGCTTCCAGCTTGCAAGCCAATTCTGACGCCTGGTTGGGTAAGCTTCTCTTCATATTTTACTCATGTTTGAGTCTCCAGTTTTTTCTTTGAAACGCTATCTAATTTACTCTTTTCCTGCAGGTGATTTCAACATTTTTGATCATTAGTGTTATCTTCATTCCCCTCGGAGTTATTTCTCTCTTTGCTTCTCAGGATGTAAGTGACCATGATCCTGTGTTGCTCTTCGTTTAATGGTTATTTATCTCATGTTTTAACTCTCATGCGTAGGTTGTTGAGATCGTTGATCGGTATGATAGTGCATGCATACCTACAGCTGATAAGGCTAACAAGGTTGCATACATTCAAGGAGCTGGAAATAAATCTTGTACCCGGACACTAATAGTGAGTTCCCTATGCATGTGTTTTGTTCTTGCAGATATGATTAGCCTTTGAATGTTTTTTGTTTACTTTCTCTTTTCTCTTTGGGTGTTTTTAGGTGCCTAAGCGTATGAAGCAGCCTATCTACGTATATTACCAGCTTGAGAACTTCTACCAGAATCACCGCAGGTATTGTTGAGAACCTCTACCTTTGTGGTAATGTTTTATATTTTGTATGGGGTTTCAGTGCTAGACCTAGATTAAACCGCTGCCGCTACATTGATATCACAAAGTAGTTGGGTGCGAAAGAAACGTTCACTATATGCGACTTAGATTCCTCATGTATTTCTGGCATTGCTATTTATTGATATCATAGGTATGTGAAAAGCCGAAGTGATTCACAATTGAGAAGTGTGAAAGATGAGAATCAAATAGACGCATGCAAGCCTGAGGATGATGTTGGTGGGAAGCCAATTGTGCCATGTGGTCTAATTGCTTGGAGTCTCTTTAATGACACATACGCTCTATCAAGAAATAACCAGAATTTAACGGTAAACAAGAAAGGAATCGCATGGAAGAGTGATAGGGAACACAAGTTTGGGAAAAGGGTGTTTCCCAAGAACTTTCAGAAGGGCAATCTCACTGGTGGTGCCATTCTAGATCCAAATATATCAGTAAGCCCTTAATACCACAGTACAGTCTTAGACCCAGTCATATCCTTTGCAAAACACTTAACTTTGTCTCCCTTTCTCTATATCTCTTTCAGTTGAGTGACCAAGAGGATCTGATCGTGTGGATGAGGACTGCAGCGTTGCCAACATTTAGAAAATTATACGGGAAGATAGAGAGTGACTTGGAGAAGGGTGATAACATACAAGTGATTCTGCAGAACAACTACAACACATACAGTTTCAGTGGGAAGAAGAAGCTTGTTCTGTCAACAACAAGTTGGCTTGGTGGAAAGAACGACTTCCTCGGCATTGCTTACCTCACTGTTGGGGGAATCTGTTTCTTCTTGGCACTTGCATTTACCGTCATGTATCTTGTGAAACCCAGGTTTGTAGCTTATCCTTGGCCTTTTAAATGTATTACTCATGTAGATAGATGTTGATTTGGTGTGGTGTGGGGTTTGTGCAGGCGACTCGGTGATCCTACCTACTTGTCCTGGAACAGAATTCCTGGAGGTCGGTAAACAAATGACTGCATTATCTGCGTGTATAAATCTACTTATCCGTGGTTGTAATTTGATCCAAAACTGAAAGTGATGATTTTTTTTTTCTTTAATATAGATGTGAAATGTATGTATGATGTTACAGTTGGAAGATGCTCATTACATAGAATGATTATTGCTTCCTATCATGCTCATTACCTTTTCTCTTTTTCTCCGAAAAAAGCAGTCCCTCGATGCGGATTTATTAGCTGGCCTCTCTGCCTTTAACTATTGTTTGTATCTATCAAAGGCAATCATTGTGTTCAAAATAGAATAGTATTGATTCCGAGATTAGAAACACCATTACAGATTCGAGAAAAAAGAGCGGCATTTGGTTTGTTTGTTTGTTAGTTGTAGCTCAAGAATCAGGCCCAGATGGCAAGGAGAGACATGGAAGCAGAGCCCATGACGAGAGAGAGATAAGCGGCCAAGTGAAGCCAGAGATTGGATTGCAATCTTGGATTCATAAAATCAGGAGCAAGAAGATCAACAAGTGACATGTAAATGAGTATCCCAGCAGATGCAGCATTCAGCATTCCTTCCACCATAATTGCCTCTTTGCTCTCTCTCCTGTACCCAAAACCACTCGATATCCCCAACCCTATTCCTATCCCAAGTGGCGCTGTCACCGAGAAAAATGTCGCCATTATCACTGTCGATTTCGACTTCATCTCCGCCTATTCAATCACACAACATGATCATCATGCTATCATCAATCAATTGACTTTTGAATAATGAAGAAAAAAATGATTGCTGTGACAGGATTCGCCTAAGCTAAGCTACTGCTACCTATGACAGTAAGAGCTTTGTCTAAACCAAACGACACTACGTGATTAATAGAAACTAAAGAATCGTGGAAGAGACTAACCAAGGAGATGCATCCACCGAGGCCAAGACCTTCAAAGAACTGATGGAAAGAAAGTGCAGCCATGAGTGGCTTTATGGTGTCTATGCTCTGTGAAGCTCCAAGTGATATCCCTATTATGACCGAGTGCACAACTATCCCAATCTCAAGCACCTGCGACACTATGCGTTTTCTGATCAACTCGGTCGAGCCATGTGTGTGTCCGTGACTCGCGTGCGTGTGAACGTGAACATGACCCGCATGCTCTTCTTCGTCTACTACTACGTTCACTTGCTTGCTCCCACTGTTACTGTTAAAATGCTGCCTCTTGTAATACCCTGTCGCGAATGTGTCGATCATAAGAGTCCCCATCGCCGACAGCATGGCTACGAAACCCGCAAACGGGAACTTTCCAGCTGTAGTGTCCTGGAGACATGGAGAGCTCAATCTCTGGAACGCGTCTGGTAAGATATGAACGAAACCTGTGCAGAGGATCACTCCTGCAGCAAAAGCTTTCACCATGAAGAAGATATCATTTTCCGGTTGTAACGCCGGAATCCTTTTCCCGATCAACGGTAGACTCACGCCGACTCCTCCGGCCACAAGAAGTAAAGCGATCGAACCAAGCTTCAGCTTAGTCGCTTTCTCTGCTTCGTCTCGAGAGACAGGATTATCGTGACTTGTACAATCACTTGAGGCACAACACATATGTAAACATATTATTAAGACTACACAAATTCTCAACATAGTTGTTGCTGAAAAGCAGCCACATTCAGACATGAGTTTAAGATATTTGTGTTCTTGTTCTGTAAGAAAGTAAAGTGTGAAGAGTTATGGGGAAGAAAGAGAAGCTTTTTATAGAGAGAAAGCGAGAGAGAACCTCAACTTTTGAAGCGAGTGGTCCATAAATGTTCATAGCAGAATCTCTAGTTACGTAGAGTTGACCACTATACACATTTCTTTGTTAGTCACGCACAAAAAGAATTTAAAATTCTGTTATTATTGTATAACACTAACTCACTAAGTACAAAGACTAGATAAAATAGATAGGAACATTTACGGAAAAAGGCTGCGAAAAAATTCATTGGTTAGTATAAGAAATTCCGCAAGCATCTTAGTCTATGGATTGTAGTCTATGGATGGCTCAAATAAGACGCCCTTTCGATCTCTTCTAATCATTTCTTTATCTATTTATACATTCTTGAGATACTATAATAAAACTACGACGACAATTCAAAGATAGATAATAAGGAAAAAGCATAGAGACTAATTGAGTTTTTTTTTTTTTGGTCGACAGAGACTAATTGAGTTTGGAACATTATTGGTCTTAAACGTACTAGTGTATTGTTTTCTTTTAAGTAGGCATTGAATGGAACCATTTTACAATTAATAAATTATAAAGGATGGAAAAGAGATTAGTTGTGTATGCTAATCCTTGTAATTATTAGTTGTCAAGGTTAGTACATCTCTTTTCACTTTATGAAAAGCAAAATATGTCTATGAATTGAAAATGTGAAGACTTTTTAAGTAGAAAGTAAATGTGAAGACAGAATGTCGTCATGTTACTATGTGTGCCGTGAGAAGAGTGGTTTTAATTTGATTTGATAATTTAGTTTTGGCTTCAAGAAATTTACGATGGTCTCATCGTCTCCTCTCAAGGTGGGATGGGTGGATAATGCTGGCCCAATCAAACCACGTGTTTCAAATTTAGATTTCACCATCGCTACTTGAGTGTGATGGTTACCTGAACCAAAATGATTTTGGCCTGATTGTCAAAAAAAATATATGATTTTGGCCTTTTTATATCTTGGTTTATTATATAGTCTTTAAACTCTGAACTATAAATAAGATATACAGACGTTTGAGAAAACAATTGAATTTTCATAAGCAAAGAAATCGGACAGAACTAATCCGAAAAGCATCAAAGTTTGATCAAGCTTGACTCAATCATTTCCCTTTTTATCCCTAAAATTGTTCACAAGAAAACAATAATATTTCGTTTTAAATATAATCGAAAATTTTGTTTTATTTATATGAAAAATCTTTCGCATCAATTGTTCACAAACATCTACATGTGCATTGCCTATTGATTTTAACATGACTAGTACATTGTTTTTTCCCTCTCTTTTTTCTAATTTCAATTGTATTTATCAATAATATATGCACTCTATGTAACAAATAAGATGACAATTAAGAAAATATCGATGAAGATGTACATATATAATTTGGAGTTTTCCATTTCATGATGAGATAGCAGTAGACTGACCGGAAATTTATCCCAAGTAACTACAATATACCCATTTTATAGCCCATGATCTCCAGTAGATTTCACAAGCTTTGTGATATCAACTAACAAATGAATCCAATTAAACCTTTTAATCCTAAGAACACTGCCTAATTGGTGGTGTCATACATATCTCCAACTCATTTCTTTGGCTATATATACACCTAATTAATTTTTAGCGTATGAAAGACACACTTTATATCTTTGATTTGGTAACTTTATACCGCTACAATATGTGATTTAATAATTACTAATCATAAAAATGTATTAAAAGCGATACCAAAAACGGTATTTTTTAATTTTTTATATCATTATCTTCTACTACAACTTTTTACCATTTTTAAGTATTTTAATATCGTTTACCGTTATTTCTTCCCGCTAAAAAGATTCATATAACTGATGTCAAAAAAAAGAAAGATTCATATTATCACTTTGTATCACCAATTGAATTAAACTGTATCAAATCATCTACCAAAATCATGTTTTTATAAACTATAAGGTACATATATAATATCCCAGCTGATTAACCTGCAAAAGATAGACCAGTATACCGGCTAATTTTCCGGTCCATTTGGTATAATGAGAGATATTTTACCAAATAACCGGTTTGGCGAACCGAGTCATTGCATAATTGAACATTTATAAGAAAGAAAAGTAAAAAGTTGCATTGAAGAAAGAGAGAGGCGGAGAGAGAGAGAGAGGAAAGTAGAAGAAGCAATCGTGAGAGACTCTCTCTCGAGTCTTCCCTGAGTCACTCCTCTCCTCTCACACCTCCTTTGCTTCGCGACGGCGAATAGGTAGAGATAAATAGCAAACAACGACGTCTCTTCCTTCGATTGCCTTGTTAGGGTTTTGTGTTTTGGCTTCTGGATTCTTCTTCTTCACGATGGTACGCGCTTTCTCCTCCTTCGACTCTTTTTTGATTTCCTCTGCTTTGGTTTGCGGATCCTCTTATGGCGTCTTTGCTTTTTTGCTATTTAGATTTTCATTTCAAGTTGAATAGAAACGAACAAGGCTCCTTAATTTTGCGATTTCAGTGATTATCGACATCTTTTGTGGTACTTAATCATATGATTGGTTTTGTTTCTGTAGCATAAGTTGAGTAGAAGCAACCGTGACAAACTTCAGCAGTTCGTGGCTATAACAGGAGCTAGGTAACTGGATCTATCTCCAAAGAGCAAGGCTTATCACTAGTTTCACTGTAGATTTGTTGTTATTAGGCCAAAACAGGAATTTGAATTGGTTTAATAATGTGGGCAGTGAGAAGAATGCTCTTCAGGCTCTCAAAGCTAGTGATTGGCACCTTGAAGCAGCGTTTGATGTGTTTTACAGCCAGCCTCAACCAAGAAGCAATGCTGCTGATGTAAGACGCTTGGAGGAACTCTACAATAGATATAAAGGCAAGCTTCTTGTTGTTACTCTTTTGAGTTTATCGAAGCCACGTGTAGTATCATTTGCTTTAGAAATGACATGTTACGTTTTGCAGACCCGTATTCTGATATGATTCTAGCCGAGGGTATCTCGGTTCTGTGTAATGATCTTGAGGTATTTTCTTTTCTTGAATAATGCTTAAGAATGATGTTGTTTGTTTTACATTAATAATAACTGTCTTGAATTTTTCTTCAGGTGGAACCCCAAGACATAGTCACGGTATGTTTAATCTAAAACTTATCCTACAACTCTCTATTATGAGTTTTTTTTTTCTCATCTTCTGGACTTTTGGTTAAATGGGTTGTTACTCCACTTGAATTTCAGTTGGTTCTTTCGTGGCATATGAATGCTGCCACAGCTTGTGAATTTTCCAGGCAAGAATTTATCAGTGGATTACAGGCATTAGGGTGAGTGAACTAGTCTTTTCAATTTTTTGTAATGTTTTGACCTGATCAAGGGTCTTTTGATGTGAAGTTCTCAGACCCAATTTTATGATGGCAGTGTAGATTCAATCGGGAAGTTGCACGAAAAGCTGCCATTTATGCGTTCTGAGCTTAAAGATGAACGTAAGGAGAAAATTGAGTGGCCATTCTTTATCTGGTTTACGATTTGATTGATGGATTGTCCCATATGTTAGCTGACATATGTGTAATGTTCTTCCTGTGCTTTTATCTTGTTCAGAAAAGTTCCATGATATATACAACTTTGCTTTTGGGTGGGCGAAAGAGAAGGTGAAAAACTTGGTTTGAAGTAGTTGATTTTAGAAGATGTTGGTTTTTTCTTCTGGGTTAGTGACAAATAGTGTAACTGTAAAATGTTTCAGGGGCAGAAATCTCTTGCCTTAGACACAGCGATTGGAATGTGGCAGTTGCTCTTTGCAGAAAGAGAATGGCCATTGGTAACTCACTGGTGTGATTTCTTGCAGGTAAACACTCGTGTGTAATATATCATCAAGGCATGTTCTATCATATTTGTTACTTCTAATACAATTTTGTTTCCCAAAATCAGGATCGTCATAACAAGGCCATATCTAAGGACACATGGGCACAGCTCCTGGAATTTGCAAGGGTAAGTGAAATACTAGATACAGTTGTGTCATTGAGCTTACATTGATTGCAACTATGGCTTAGCGTTGATATATGGATTGAAACAATATTTTGTGATGCAGACGGTCGACCCGGTGCTGTCGAATTACGATGCAGAAGGAGCATGGCCTTACCTCATTGATGAATTCGTTGAGTATTTGTATGACAAGAATGTCGTTGAGAAGTGACCAGCCAACTGGGAGAAGTAATCAGCTCTATTTTACAATGTTCCTTTATTCTCATTATTTTAATAGACTTATCTTACAGATTTCTATTGTGTTTCTTGTCAGAATCTTGAAATTGATGATTAAATAAGTAAGCTTTTCAACTTTAAGACTAATCTAGTTTTTACAGTAATGAAACCAACAACTTGCTCTTCTATCTGTTACCAATAATCACCACACGAACAAACTCCATCCTTAAACTGGTGGAACCTATTTGTGTCTCTCACAACAATCTCTCTGCCCACAAGCTTCGAGATAAGCTTTGTAGCGGCATGACAGTTCACGCATGCTCTCAGATTCTTTGTGATCCGCAGTGTTGTCCCTTGGGGTGTACTTATAAGCCCATATGCAATTGCGATCCTCTCGCTGTGGCTGCACAGAGTCTCTTCAGCTTCTTCATCGTTGAGATCGTGCAATGAAGCATCCTTGTTAGCCACAAATCCACCTTCCTTCAGTCTACTCTCTATCCACTCTACTTGTCTCTCTATCTCTTCGTATCTTGGATGTGATTTATCACCCACTCTGAAACCCTCCAACCTTCCCCTTACTTCAACCCAGCTACATCCAACGTCTTTGTTCAATCCTTTCTCCTTCATCCTCACTCGCACCTCTACAACACGGTCCCACAAACGCGCTGCAGCATACAGATTAGAGAGCTGCACATAGTGGCCTGTGTTGGATGGGTCTATTGAGAAAAGCTGCTGAGCTGCGTATTCTCCCAGTTCAACGTGGCGATGCTTTTTGCAAGCGCTTAGGAGTGCTCCCCAAACTGTTACACCGGGCTGGACCGGCATGCATTTTATCACTTCATAAGCTTGATCTAGATGACCAGCACGCCCAAGTAGATCAATGACGCATGCATAGTGTTGCTGTTGCGGATTTATTTTGTGATCCGCCATCCGGTTGAAAAACCACCAGCCTTCTCTTACCATGCCTGAATGGTTACAGGCCATGAGAAGCCCCAGAAAAGTGACGTCATTGGGATGTACTCCATCACGCTCCATTGCACGGTACAGACTGATTGCTTCTCTTGCCTGCCCGTGCAATCCATACCCGACAATCATAGCACTCCACACCACAACATCCCTGTCAAGTGTTCGGTCAAAAACTGATCTTGCACACTCTACACTTCCACATTTAGCAAACATATCGATTAAGGCGCTGCTTATGAAAACGTCATCCCTGTAGTCACTCCTGCTTACATATTCATCCATCCAGCGGGCCTGCTCAAGAGAACCTACTTGAGCGCAAGCCGAAATGGCAGATGTTATAGAGATGGTATCGGGTCTAACATCTTTATTGATCATCTCATGAAACATATCAATAGCTTCCCTGGCATAACCGTTTTTCGCATAGCCAGAGATCATGGCGTTCCACAAAATCAGGTTGGGTGACTTCATCTTATCAAACAGAATCTTGGCGGTTGCAACTTGGCCACATTTTGCATACATGGTGTTGAGAGAGATGAGCAAGTCAGGCTCTGTTTCAAGACCCATCTTCACAACAGAAGCATGAATAGATCTCCCTTGCTCCAAATCCTGCAAGCAAGTGAAAGCATTGAGAACGCTGACAAGAGCTACCCAGTCAGGCTTCACATCCATCTTCCTCATCTGACTGAAAATCTCAAGAGCCTCCACAGGCTCACCATTCTGCGCATAAGCAGAAACGATAGCCGTCCATGAGACAATCGTCCTCTCTGGCAAAGGCAGTCCTTCAAACACAGTTCTCGCACATCCCAAACGCCTACATTTCGCATACAAGGCAATGAGACCATTCTGAACAAACACATCCGCTTCAAATCCAAGCCTGAACACTTGAGCATGAACAAATCTACCCATCTGCAAGTGAGACAAACCGCCGCAAGCTTTAAGAAGATGAGGGAAAGTGAAAGAATCAGGAGAAACACAAGCGAGTTGCATCTTGGAATACATGAGAAGAGCATCTTGGAAGTAATTGTTTCTCGAATAACCCCTGATTATAGCATTCCAGGGGAATATTTGAGGACGAGGTAAATCGTCGAACACTTGGCGTGCAAAAGTAATATCACCAAAGGAAGAGCTAGCTTGAATGAGCTTGGTGATCAAGAAACCACTGAACTGCAAACCCAAAACAAGTAAACGTGCGTGGATTTGCCTCGGCTGAGATTTATGAGTTGAACTGTCAATAAGCGAAGCGTAAAAAGAATCAGAATGGATTCCAGAATTGGCTGCACCAAAAAACAAAAAAAAACACATTTCACTTTGGGATTAAATTTGGACATACAAAGCAGAGCTGCAAAGTGTGTAACAAGAGAGTTCTTCTTACTGTATTGAAAAGGAGAAACAAGAATAGATGCTTCCGACATGGTTACTACTACTCTGTTGTCTTCCTCGTTAGTTTTGTTATCTCCATCATTTTAAATAGTAGCACATTCCTTTCTTCACATGTATCAATATTTGAATTCAATTTATATTTTACATTTTTTTTTTGGAAATTGTTTTATTTATGTGAAAAGCTTGTAAATATTTTTGTGACTTGGGCCAATTCTTCTAATTCCACCAACACAAGACTTTTTAAAGCCCGAGGAGCGATTTCATAATTTTGTATTCAGTAAAAACTAAAAAAGGATAAACAAGAAATTAATAGGATATATACAATTAATCAAAAAAAAAAAAAATCCAATTGAAGTAAAATATAAATTAAGATTGAAAGATTATTATATTTATAACTAATATCTACTATTAACTAAGAAGCAGTATATTTAGGGATTAGGAAAATAATCATATTAAGGAAGGTAAATCATAAAAGTTTGTTAAATCAGTTAGCAAATAAAGAAAATACAATTAACAGGCTCATATCGTATCTCGGTCAGAATCTATATAAGTTATCCTCTAATTCTTAGGTTCTTACCCTTTTCCTAATCCTAAATGACATTAGCTTAAACAAGTCGCTTAAAGATCCATCCTTGTAAAAATACTTAGGAGAGGCAGAACAGAGCTCACGAGAAAAGCAGAATCATGAGTAATAATACTTCTTTTGTTACTAATCTCTTCGAAGGTAGGAATAAAGGTATTGATGCAAGCAGCAGCGACTCTGATGATGATCGAGCAGGTAAACCTAGAGAATTACTTGTAGACAAATTTAGGTCAAAATCTGCTAATCAATTTATGAGACGTGCGGAGAAAGTTTCGGCAGTTTCTACTACTGAGCAGGAAGAAGATGAATCCAAAAAACTTACACCGGAGTCTAAACCGCGATCGGAAGGTGATAAAGTGGGTGACATCGTTCGTTTTGGAAAAGACAGTTACTTCGTTATTGATATTTTCGAGAAAGAGATCATGGAGTTAGGAGACAAAGTTGATTTAAACTTCAAGAGATTCAAAACGTTCGAAGCTGTTTATGGAGACGCTCCGCGAGACCATCACTTCTACAACTATCGTTGCTGTTACTCTTGCTGCTGCGTCTGCTCGAGTAGTACCGTGGGTAGATTGTGGGGGATTCTAGAGACAGGACTAGCCTCGAGGGAGAAGGAAGGAGTCAGCTTCTTCGTGAGAACTTATAAAGAGAGAAAAGAGCTGATGAGAGTTGCTGTCACTGTAACAGATTGTCATCAGAATCATAATTTGTACTTTTTCGACCTCAAGTTCCCTAGGGAGTATCCATATCGAGCGCCGAGTTTCTATTACCATCCGTATGGTCTTCCTTTGAGTACTCCTGAAGCCCAAAAGTCACTAAGAGAAAAGCACATCTACAACATTTTAGATGTGTTTCTCCACATTCAAGAGATTGTATTGATGAACACCAACAAGTCATGTCACCAGATGCTAGATATTCTGGAACAGCCGCTCGCGGGGTTTCAAGATTTTGTAATAGGGTATTTTAGGAAGAAGGGGCCTTTGATTCTGCGGAACTTGCTGCAAGAGTTGGATATGGAGGAGGAGAGGGACAAGAAAATGTTCTGGAAGATGTACTTTGCGTTTGAAGGCAATAAAGCTTATTGTGAGCAGATTCTGAACAGTGATCTGAAAGCAGAGTTGGAGAAATTGAAGGAGAAAGAACATACATTAAGCGATTACTACTATGGTTCTTCTTCATCTCCCAACTACCCAACCTACACTCAACGGGATGATGGTATTAAGAAGACATCCAAAATCCAAAGCTTTTGGAGCAAGTACTTGTCTTTGTCTTTCGATTACTAGTGTCTGGTTCATGTCTTTTCTTATCTTTTGTTTTTTCTTTCAGAATTTTAATATATGAGTTTCTATACCGGAGAACGAGACTCTGATAAATAGTCAAGTGTTGAATAGGTAGATTTACAGCGAAAGAAACTCTGTAAGTATACAGCGTTTGACTCATCGATGGTAAGAGTTTCTAAACGGTGACTGGGATCGCTTCATCAAGGGCGATCACACCGGGAAGTACTTTGCCTTCCAACAGCTCCAAGCTGGCTCCACCACCAGTGGAGATGTGACTCATGACTCCTGCTACTCCTACTTTCTCCACTGCAGCCACTGAGTCTCCTCCTCCTATTATCGTTGTCACTCCTTTTCCACTTAGCTCTGCTAGTTTATTCGCTACCGCCTGCAACAACCACAATCTCAAACTTAATCTAATATTCATCTACCACATGTTCATGAGTAAATCATTTTCTTACCTCTGTTCCAGCTGCAAACTTTTCCATCTCGAAAACTCCCATAGGACCATTCCAAATTACTGTTTGTGTTGTGTCCAGAGCTTCGTTGAAAGTTTTGATAGAGTCTGGACCGATGTCCAATCCCATCCATCCGTCCTCAATGCCTGATGCAGGCACGATCTACAAACATCCACATTTACTCAGAACACAAAGCTCAAGAAAGATAAAATATATAACAACTTTTCTTCTCTCATCTCTCTCTCTTTTAGGATCATCAAACAAGAACAACCACACCGAGTTTACCTAGAACACCATGATTAAACATGAGCCTTACAACACCCACTTCTCAGTTTTCTTTTACACGAAAAACAAATAGCTAGCAAACGGTTCGTATAAGAGTTTTAAACCCATCTTTCAGGAGCAATAAACTGCTTCTCAGTTATTTTTAATGTTTTTATATTGTAGACTAGTCCTAAAACCTATTGTCATTTCCTGTTCATTTACAATCACCCAAGAATTTAAACGGCCAAGCTTTAAGCAATCAAGAGATGAGAGAGACAGACCTTGCTGTTGGCATCAGGAGCAAACTTGTCAGCAACCACAACATCTGTTGGCAACAAAAGAGAGACTCCTTTGGCCTTAGCTTTGGCAAGGAGTTCTGTAGCCAATTCAAGTTTGTCTTCTTCAACAAGGGACGAACCAACTGAAAGACCTTGTGCCTTGTAGAATGTAAAAATCATTCCACCACCAAGAAGAAGGATATCACATTTCTCCAGAAGCGATTCAATAACTCCAATCTTTGATGAGACCTTAGAACCACCCACTATGGCTGCAAATGGTCTCTTTGGGTTTGAAACAGCGCCAACAAGGTAGTCCAGCTCCTGTAGAGGTAGAGAGAAGTAAACTAAAATGTCATGGTACCATTGGTAGCAACAATGCTGAATAGACAATCAAAGGAAATATAATCTCTATCAAAATATTACCTTTTGCAGAAGGAAACCAGCAACTGAAGGCTTCAAGAACTTAGTGACTCCCTCGGTAGAAGCATGAGCTCTGTGAGCAGTTCCGAAAGCATCATTGACATAAAGGTCAGCTAGAGAAGCAAGCTTCTTAGCAAACTCAGGATCGTTCTTCTCTTCCTCCTTGTAAAACCTGACATTCTCAAGAAGCAAAACTCCACCGTCAGGTAGAGAAGCCACCAAGCTTTCCACTTCTGGACCGATACAATCATCAGCTTTCGTCACCTGCGAAATACACCATCAAGAAGCTCTCAAGTGATTGATTCTCACAGGAATATGATTGATCACTGAGACAAATCACATATTTTACCTCAATACCAAGAAGCTCAGAGAGCCTAGGGACAAGAGGAGCCAAACTAAACTTTGGTGTGACTCCCTTTGGCCTTCCCTGAAAGATCAAAATGCATAAAGTGTTCTACTTTAGTTCAGGTGATGGAGGAATTCAAATGTATGGAGTGTGTGGGAAGTGGGAACATTACCAGATGAGTGGAGAGGATGACTTTAGCACCATTGTCGATCAAATACTTGATCGTTGGAATAGCGGCACGGATTCTGGTATCGTCAGTGATAGTCTGGTTATCATCGAGAGGTACATTGAGATCAGCTCTCACGAAAACCTTCTTCCCCTTCAAATCAGCTGAGGTCAGATCTCCGACGCTCTTCTTCGCCATAGAAACCACTCCTCTGCTTCCCTTCCCGCGCACCGATTCAACTTTGGAAGCAACGTGGAGAGAGAAACGACGGGAATCGAGAGTGGCGGAGAAGCCAAGAGGACGCGCGGAAACAGAGGTAGAGGGAACTGGTAAAAGGGAGGCGCGTGCGCGAGTTCCGGCGGAGGAAGCGACGCCACCGGTGGACTTAAGGAGTGAAAAGGCGGGACTTGCGGCAGCTGAAGCCATGTGGATCAAAGAAGATAAAAAAGATGAGGAGATGAGAAACAGAGAGAGTGACTCACAATGTTGTTAGCCATTGGGTTTTTAGAGAGTTTGGAATATTTTTTCTCTTATCGTTGATGAGAGGTTCTAAAGCTTTAACCTTTTTGCTCATATATTCGTTTACTGTTTTGCCTCTATCCTCTACATATTGTAAAGAATGCTAATTTTATTGTGCTTAAGATAGTTTGATCTACATGATCTTAATACTGTCGCCAATGTAATCCAATTACCCAATACATTTTTTATTCGAGATCTGAGAAAACCCAAATGAACTACAGCTTGCTGGTCGGCAGACCAACAGGCTTGGCCCTAGACCTCTTTTCCACCGCACGAGAGAGTTGCTTCACCGCTTCTTTAGGCAAATGGCGAGGTTTGCTAAGCCACAGTCCTCCATCTACCACCACTGTTAGTCCGTTCACATATTTCCCTGTTAAACCAAATCAAGCAATGTATCATCATCTAACCATCTATATATGTTTTATACTAAAGAGTGTGCTTTTTAACTCAGCATACCAGAATCACAGCTGAGGTAGAGTGCAGCCATTGCGATATCCCACTTCTCTCCAAGTTTATAAAGAGGCATGTACTCTCTAGTTTTGTTTTCAATCTCTTCAGGTACAAGTTTACTCATTCCCGGTGTACCTCCAATGGGACCTGGTGCAATCCCGTTCACTCTAATATCATAATCAGTTCCCCACTCCAATGCCAAGTTTCTTGTTGTAGCATCAACTGCAGCCTGTTTCAAGTTTCAAACTCCTAAGATCAGATTTGCTGCATTCTATTGTTCCCATTACCTAGTTCTTGATTTCCTAGACAGTGAACGACGTTATCAGACTAAGCAAATTACCTTGGCTGCAGATACATGTATCTGATACCAAGAAGCTGTGTAGTGCAAAGTAGCGCTTATGTTAATAATGGAACCGCCACCGGTTGATGAGTCTCTCCCAGGCCCTCCTTTCTTAAGATACTTGAGAGCTGCGTGACACATGTTGAATGTTCCTACCGCATCAATGTCTAAGACTGCACAACAACAATAAAAACGTTTCCTTCAGCTAAATTGACAAACTTTCAGGCCTAATTCTTCTCAAACCATGATCAAAACTAATGATAATCGAAAAAATGAACCTGTTCTGAAGCCATTAGGAGACAAATCCTCAGCAGCAGCCAGAAAATTCCCAGCAGCAGCGTTAACAAGAATGTCAATTTTACCAAAATGCTGATAAGTTGCTTCCACAACTCTTCTCGCATCCTCTTGCTTACGAACATCACCTTCTAATCCAATAGCCTTAAAAGGAAACAGAGAATCAAACAAATTCAACGAATAATCACATAACTAGATGAACAAAACCGCGAATCGAAAAAAGGATTACCTGAATTCCGAGAGATCGGAGGGCGGAGACGGCGTCGTCGAGTACTTGTTTCCGGCGTCCCATGATAGCGATGGAAGCTCCATGTTTGCCAAACTGAGAAGAGATCTCAAAACCGATGCCGGATCCACCACCGGTGATGAGAGCCACTTGACCTCTGACGACATCAGGTTTGAATGGAGACTCCATAACCACACACTCTCACACACACGCAAATTCGTTAAAAGCTTCAGACAAAAAAATGGGTGCGTGTCTCTTCTTCGACCTTTACCTACTAACCAAAATTTGCTTTAAATATCTCCTCCGCATTCTTTTTTAGTAGAAAATTACAAAATTATTATCTTTCTACTAATTACAATATTTGTTACCAAATGACCATTTTCTAGTCAGCGTTTTCGTTATTTCCCAAATATTGATAACCACAAAAACAATTTAATTTTAATTTTTTACTTAATTACATTTGGTATATATATATTTTTCATCGAACTTCGAAAGATATAACGACCAACGGAAATATTTAATATCTCCGATAAGATAAATCATCGGATAATAGTAATATCTCCTATATCTACAGGAATTAATAAAATAAATTACTTTTTACAGATAGAAAAAAGGGTTAACGAGACCCAAACTTTTTTTTTTTTTTTTTTTTTTTTCATATGGCCTTTTAAGCGCTCGTTTTCAGACTTTGAATCCCTCTTTTGGGCTTAGCATACTCTTATTCTACTAGAGTCTTTGACTTCCTTAGGATTGGACCGTTGACTGGAAAAAAACACTTTCCCTTTTGTCTTCTTCAAGCTCAAACCTTATCGTTTGGTTTTCTTCTTCTAAATCTGTGTGTTTGTTCTTCAACCTCAAGCTTTCAATTCTCGATTCTGCTTTGAATTTCAGTTCTCTCTTTGGGTTTCTCTAGTTATGTCTTCTTCCCTTGACAAGATTCTAATGGCGATGACCTTAGAAGAGAAGGATGAGCCATTTAATCTTCCGGATCTGCCTGAATTTTGCTCAAAAGAGATGAATTCCATGAGTTTAATAGGAAGAATTCTCAATCCGGACTGTCAGAAGGTGTCTAATTTGGTACTCGATATGCCAAGGAAGTGGCAAATATATGATCGTGTTCGTGGTGTGGCTCTATCTCCGGAAAGGTTCCAATTCATCTTCAAATATGAACATGATTTGGAGGATATTCTTAACAAAGGAGCTCATACATACAATCAATGGTCTTTTGCGTTGGATAGATGGATGGAAAATCCTCCGGAGGATTATCTTCAGTTCATTCCGATTTGGGTTCAACTTCGCAACATACCTGTCAAT